TGCCGGGGTGGGGGGGGTGGGCGCTGGTGGTGCAGGTTGAGGGCTGTTCTAAATTCAATGCTCAGGGAAGTCCTCACTGACCATGTGACATTTGGATCTGTGACTTAAAGGGTGAGGAGCGAGTCCTGTGGGTATGTAAGGGGAGAAAGTCTCAGCGAAAGGGAACAGCAAGTATAAAGGTCCTGAGGTAGACATGTGCTTGGCCCTTTCAGGGAAGAGCAGGGAGGCCATGCGGCTGTGGTTGTGGGGGCAAGGAGGTAAGAGCGGAAGGTGAGGTTGGTGAGGGGGTGGGGGAGCCTTGCTGCCATTTCAGGGGCCCTGGATTTTACACTGAGTGACAAGGTTGCCTGTGCAGGGCGCTGAGCAGAGGAGGGATGGAAGTTGACTTGGTGTAAAGGCTCCCTTTCCAGCGTGCAGAGTGGGCCGGGCGCAAAGCGGGAAGCAAGGAGAACTCAGTGAGGAGGTGGCTGCAATATTCCAAGAGGCGCTGGAGGTCACCAGGGAGGTTGCAGCGGGGCAGTGGGCACTCCACGAACACTGGAAATTGGGGGTACAACCAACAGGGTTTGCTTGTAGGTCAGATGAGGGGTGGAGAGAAAGAGTCAAGGTCAACCTCAAGGACTGAGCAACAAGAGGAGGAAGCTGTCATTGCCTGACATGAGGGACTGAGGCAGGAGCAGTTGGCAGAGAAGGAATAGAGCCCAGAGTCTAGTTTTGGATGTGTGAAGCCTGAGCTACATGTTAGACGTCCAAGAGCCTGGAGCCTGGGGGTGGGGTTTCTGGCTGCAACTTTGTATCTGGATAATGTGAAGTTGGGAGACCTCAGTATATGAATGGTACTTAAAGCCATCTGTCTGGCCAAGGACACCCAGAAAGGCCGTTCTCCAACTTGAATGTGCATGCCAACGCCCTGGAGATCTTGATAAAATGCAGGTTCTGAGCCAGAGGTCTGGGCAGGGCCTGAGAGAAGCTCCCCGGCAGGGGGGCCAGGACCACTCTTGGGTACCAGGGCCTAAGGCATTGTTTTTACGGCCAAGACCCACGGGTAGCTAATGAAATCAACAGAGTGGCTTGTGATCAGCATTGAAAGAAAATGGAACAGGACGGATTCACATCACAAAGGTATATATCGGTTCAAAAAAAACCTCTTTTCGGTTATTTGAGCAGGAGTCCCCAGGCCATGACATTGTCACGGTCACAAAGGTTTGAGAAAACCTGACTGGGGAGTGAGGGTAAACAGAGAAGGGAAGAGGCCCAGGAACCAAGTGGGAGAGGATGAGGAGGAACCAGTGAGGAGGCAGATAAGGCGACCAGGGAGGTGGGAGGAAAACCAAGACAGAATGTTCTGGAAGTCAAAGGGGGAAAGAGGCCCAGATTTGAATTATCCTCTGCTTCTCCCCAGCCCTGTTGCCATACACATTTGAGCCTCAGTTTCCTCTGCTGTGAAGTGGAGACATGAGTCTCAGCTTGTGGAGGTGGCTCTTGGCACGGGACTGGGCGAGCGTGTGAATGGCAGAGTGACACTGACTCTGGTCCTGGCTTCGGGCTCCCCCAGCCCAGCAGGCTGCCCTCCCATTGCGCAGATGGAGAAACTGAGACCCAGGCTGCAGAGAGCATCTTGCCTGAAGCTCCTTGGGGCAGAGGCTGCGCGGCACTCTTTCCTCTGTGCCCACTTTCTGCCTCGTTCGCCCGCGTGGGTCTGACCTGCTGTTTTCTACAGCTGCTGGCTCCAGGCCCGAGCTGGAGTCGGACAGCCGCCGGGGGGTCCCTGGGGGCCGTCTAAAATTCCTCCAGTGGCCAGTGGCCAGGGTGGACGTGCTCCATCCCTTCCTGCAGCCCTGGCCTTCCTGGCCAGCCAGCAGGAGGAAGAAGCGAATTTGTGCACCTGCCCACTGTGGGTTCAGGCACAAGGGCCTGGCCATCAGCCACGTGTCTCTTTGGAGGGTGGGTAGGCCACACCTGGAAGCATCTGTATCAGTCGGAGCCCCAGCCGGAAACAGATGGCACGTTCCACTGGGATCGGAGCGTTTAGTGAAGGGTCTGTTTACACAGGTGTGGGCAGGGTGTAGGGAAGCCGTAAGGGGCAGTGCTGAGCCCCAGGGCTGGCAGCAGCGGGGACCTTGACCACGCTCAGCCCGAAGGGCTGTGTGGAGAGGCCGTGGACTTCAGTGAAGGAGGCCACCAATTGGCAGTGACCCTGCGGAGAAGGACCAAGAGGAATGAGTCCTCGTCGTCCTCTTCCTCCTCCCTCTATCTGTTCAGGTTTGGGGGGAGGCGAGGAGAGGTAGACCCACCAAGAGAGAGAGTGCATCTGCGGGGGCAACAGAAGACAACAACTACTTCAAGGCCCGTCGCCGGCTGTGAGACCACATGGCCATCAAGCTTCCTGGGGAGAGGTGACCCAGCCCGGGAACTGGCCTCTTCCACTGGGGAACAGAGCCAGACCTGCCTCTCTATGCCTCAGTCTCCCTGTGCCTCCATGGCCCCGCCCCCGCCTTCCCTTCCAGGGTGCTCCATGGTCTCAGTAAGTACATCTTGAGGGTCTGAGGGTCCTGAACTCTGTGCTTGCTCTTTAGGGGCTTCTAGTCGAGGGGAGAGAAGTGCATGGCATGACCCCACCCAGCTGGGGGTGGGGTGAGTGACCTCTTCTCCACCCCTGGGACCCCCAATCTCTTCCTTCCTCCACAGGGTCTCTGGGGGCAGGTCCAGGCTCTGCTGTGGCTCCTGTAGATTGTTCTCTCCCTGGTCATTTCCTACAAGTTCCGCACGTCCACCTGCAGCTTCTGCTGGCTGGAGCCTCCGATAGGCCTTGTTTATAACACAAGGGGGGGTGGATTATGCAGCTTGGAGGGAAGGGGGAGGGAGGGAGGGCTGGAGAGGAATTTCTTATGATGTGACCCCTGTCACAGCCCCAGGTGCCCTGACACCCACTCTGGACAATAATCCCCCTCGTCCCAGTCACCCATGGCCCCCGTGAAATCTGTCCGCACAGTCAGATCAGGTGGGAGTAGCAGGAAAGGAGGGAGCTGGGAAAGAGGCAACCCTGCAACCTCTCCTGCCACCCAGGGGTCTCTTGCTTTTCAGGGGGTTGTGGGTAGCTCCTCTGTAAATGGTTTAATGGCACGGCCCCCAGAGGTGGCTGTGAGGATTCAGAGCTGATAAGGTGCACGCCTAGGGCGGGGCCTGCCGCGCAGGGAGAGGTCAGCCCTGGGGCTGGATTAAGTGTCCCTGGTCGGAAAGCTCACAGCAACCTCCAGTGTCCCCCACTAAGGCCACCCTTTGCCTTGCAGTGCCCGCCTCTCCGCCTCTGCACCCATGGCAAAAGGCAGAGGACCTGCCACGTTCAGGGGGCCCCCTCGCCCCATCCCAGGCTTCCTGGCCTGCTGGGCATGGCGGAGTCTCCCATGACCCCACACCTACGCCTGGCCAGGAACTAGCTGGGTAGCTGCAGGGCTGAGCAAGTGAGCCTTGCCCAAGGCCCCACCCAAGGAGCCACACGCGGGCCCTGCTGCGCTGGAGTCAGCTCTTGCACAGGCGACACATGCCGGCTCTGCTCCCTCCAGGGCCAGCCAGGCCTCCCGCCTTCTCTGCCCTCCCCGGGCCTCGATTTCTCCCCCTGTGACTCAGGACAAGCGTCCAAAGAAACCCCCCTGGCTCCATCCTCTCTGTGGGTCCTGCCAGGACACATCAAGATTCGCCTCCACAAAGCCCAGCTCTGCCAGCTCCTTCCGCTCCGGCGCCCTCCGTAGCTCCCCGTGACCCATCAGGATGGAGTCCTGGCATCCAAGGCCCCCTCCCAAAGCAGGGCCGGAGCCAGCCTCTCCAGCCTTCCTGTCCCCACCACGCCCCTGTTTGTCCTCCTCACCCCTTTCTTCCACCCCACCCCCATGCAGGCAGTCTTTCAAAGGCCGGGCCTAAAACCACCTCCTCCAGGCAGCCCAGGCTTCCTCCTCTGGGCTCCCTTGGGCCTGAGCCTAGGTGCTACCCATGACTAGCACCATGGTGGACACAGGGCTGGCACTCGCTGTTTGCAGAATGAACAAGGGACAGTCCTGGGATCACCTCCCAGGCTCAGGGAGCCCCGCTGAGGGAGCACTTCCTGTGTGCCAGGCCCAGAGCTCGGCGCCCTAGGGCTCCATCCTCGAAACCTCACAGTGGCCTGGTGAGGACGGCACCGTCATGCCCACTTTACACACAGGGTGACTGAGGTGGAGGGGATTTGGTCAAGGTCTCACACCATAGCTCAGGGTAAGCTGGGCAGGGTGTTGATCGCTGGGTTGTCTGACTTCAGAAACCGTGAAAATGCACCCTCCTTTCACCTGGGCCTCTCTATTGTCCCTGAGGCATTTTCCGCACGGGGACCGGGCGGACACAAAGTGTGTTATCTCGGGGCAGGTCCCCTGTTCTCTCCGGGCCGCGAAGACCTCAGCCCCAGCTGCCATGCTGTGCTCTGCGCCATGCTGGGCCTCAGTTCCCCTGCCTGAAAAAACAAGGAAATGACAGCAGCCAGTGTCATGCCATGTAAACCAGCTTTGGCACCCAAGGAGATCTGTCTGAATTCCAACTCCACTATCTTTTGGGGCCAATTATCTCACTTCGTTAGGCCTCTCTTTCCTCATCTGCAAAATGGGACCACTGACCTCATGGAGCTGTGAGCTCCACAAGGACCGCCTTGGCCAGGGCCTGCCTCTTGAGAGGTCCCCTTGGTGGGCTGTTAGGGTGATTGTTTTCATCTGTCCCCTGTCCCCGGGGCTGCCGGCCAGCCCTGGACAGGGTGGGATGGGAGGGTGGGGTGCATGGGGAGACAAGCCTGGAGCCTAGGCCCTCCCACCCCACCGCCTCCCCCTCCCCAGGGCCCCCCACCCAGCGACAAAGCTCATGGCACTTCCTCTCCCGCCTGGCAGGCCGCCTGGCCCAGCCCCTTCTCTAAGGAAGCGCATTTCCTGCCTCCCTGGCCTGGCTGGATGAGCCAGGAGCTCCCCACCGCCGCCGGTCATTCCCCAGCCTCTGTCGGCAGCACGGACTGCTGCCGCCCACACGAGCCCAGCACCCCCTTCCCGCTCATCCCCCGGCCAGCGACCCTCGGCCCGGCCCTGCGCCCTGTGCCCTCTTCTCCTGACCAACTTGGCCGCCACCTCAGAAGGCTGGAACAGGGACAACGTCGTTCCGGTCGCCTGCTCCCTTTGGGTCCCCGTGCGAGCCCACGCCGGCCCCCAAGCCCGCCCGCAGCCCTGCCCCTGGACACCGGATAAGGCCCAGCGACCGGAGCCCCGGGTGGACAGCATGGACCGCAGCGCGCTCCCCCTGGCCGTGGCCCTGCTGCTGGCCGTCTGCAGCCTCAGCCCCACAAGTAGGTGTTCAGGGACCCGCGGTGGGGAGACTAGGCTCCTTGTCCCAAGTTCATGCACAGGGGAGATGTCCTGGGGGGCTGGACAGCCGTAGGGTGCCCGACCATCCTGGTTTGGAAAGACCAAGAACTTTCAACTCTAAAAACCTCAGCCAAACAGAGATGAGTTATTTACCTTAACCCCGGTCTCTGGTCTCTGTTCTTCCAGTTTCCCTCCAGGAAGCTCAGGTCCTAGCATGCTGTGCAGCCCTGGGAGAGTCTCCTGCCCTCTCTGGGCCTTACATTTCCCATTGAGGAATGTGTGGGAAGGAGGGCACGAGGCCTCACGTTTGGAGCGCGGGCTCTGGGCTGTGGTTACTTCCTTGTGGTATGATCTTGAGGAACGGCCTTCCGGCCTCTGAGCAAAGTGGGGATGGTAACAGACTCATCGCGGGCTGTCGGGAAGGCTGGCGTTGAGGCAACGCTTGTAGAGAGATGTCTTGGGCGGGCCGGTTGCTTCCATGTTGTTACTGTTGTTGCTTTATGATTAGCTTTAAATCCTCCACCCTCATTCCCTGGGCACTGGGAGCAGCCCCCAGGCCCCTCTGAGTGCGGCTCTGCCCCAGCTGCCGCCCCGCTCTGCTCCCCGAGAAGCCTGCAGGGAGAAGTGCAGTCTCAGACGAGGGCCTCTGTGGGCTCCTCAGCCTGGGGGCTTTTCCAGGGGGTCACAGCCTCTGCTGCCTTCCGAAGCTGACAGGATGCGAGGCCCTGAGGAGCTGGGGACTCCCAGTCCTGCGTCACACTTACCGTGGCCTTGCTGTGCCCAGTGGACGCACCCACCTGAAGCCACAGCATGGCCCTGTGGACACCCCTCCAGCCATGGTGCACCCAGGAACCCCCTAAAGCAGGGGCATCCAACCCACGGCCCGCGGGCCGCATGCAGCCCTGGATGGCTATGAACCTGGCCCAACACAAAATGTAAATTTACTTAAAACATTATGATTTTTTTTGTGATTACGTGTCGCAATGTATTTAATGTATGGCCCAAGACAACTCTTCTTCCAGGGTGGCCCAGATATGCCACGAGGTTGGGCACCCCTGCCCTAAAGGATCTGGGGAGCGGTGAGAAGTAGAGCGGCGGGTGGCCTTCCCCTCCTGTCCGGTCCCCCATCCCCCACAACATTTTAAAGTCCCCAGCCCTTGGTCTCTAAAGCTCTCCCCGTTGCTTCACTGACAGACAGGAAGCGGAGCCTCAGACACTTAGTGACTTAGCAGGGATTTGACCCCAGGCTCCCTGGAGCTCTTGTCCCTAACCTTGGATGATACAGCTCCTGGTCACCCTGCAAGATGGCTGCCATTATCGCCCCATTTCACAGGATAGGAGGCGGAGGCTGGGGCCGGCCCATTCACACAGCTGGACGGGAACCCTACCTGAGCTCCGCCGCAGCTGCCCTACCTGTCTCCCACGGCCCCCATGTTTCTAGCTTGATAACACTCTTTTCTTGATAGCACTCATCAGAGGAAGATCCGTGAAGGTCTTTGGGGTCTGGTTTTATAAGATCAAGGCGGCGGCGCACTGGCAAATAATTAACCACAGGGGTGAGCGGGTGGGGGTGAAGCTTGTTAATTTTTTGTGGTGTAAGTGTTCCCACACGGCGGATTTCGAGCCCCCAACTCATCAAACTCACTCAGAGTCGGTACGAGGTGCCCAGTAGGGGACGCTTATCGAGTATTTCTGTCACACACATACGACAGACACAGATAACCTCGGAAGCACAGATAATAGTGAAATGGAGTAAAATAATTAGGAGGTAAGAAATTTGATATTTATTACTTTTTTAAAAATACAAGTTATTTAACTGTAAGCTTAAGAAGTTTACTTTTTAATAATGGCCATATTTAACAGCTGGTTGGAAAAACTCCTGGTAATTTATCAACCTGCTCCCTTGCGTGGGTAGTGACCCCCCATGGTTCCAGGGTCCCAGGGCATCCCAATTCCAGATCCCCCAGCCCGACCCCCTCACAGTCAGGGAAACGGAGGCCCATGGGGGCGGGGGTGGGCAGCCGGGGGCCTGGCCAAGGCATGGAACTCAGACTTCCAGCCCGGGCTGGGGCGTGAGGGTGACCCACGCACTCCCATTCAGGCAGGAGGAGGTGCCAATGGGTCCCAAACCGGTCCAAAACGAGGTCCAGCCTCCTGGGGACACAGCTGGGCAGCTCTCCAAAAGTGTACTTGGGAACACAACCCAGCTGTCAGAAGTCAGGCCTAGGGAGTCCCTTGCCCAGCTCTCTTACGAGTGGTCCCTAGGGAGCTGTAACCAAACCCCAGCAACTGGAGACCACCCAGATGTCCAGCCGCCTGGGCCCCGTTAAATGAATTCTTATGCCGGGGGGTACCATGCCGCTGTTATCAAGAAAAAGCTGGACTGTGTCTGCGCTGCTGTGGACAGATATCTGGGACGCAGTGTCGGGTTCATTTCTTTAAGAATAAAACAGTAACGATTCATTTCTTTAAGAATAAAACAGTAACAATGCGCAACATACACAGAGAACATCCGTGGTCACTCGTCCTTTCTCGAGTTCAAACATCAGGATTTTCCCCTAAGACACACTTTTTTGTCACACTGGAATTTTTTTAAAGAACAAACTTGTAGAGGTTTTTAAAAAGCAATTTAACTATATATATTCACTTTAGTCTGCTCCTCGAAGAAAATATCTAAGAGGGGAAAAAATTGTTAGCATGCCGGTGGATTGCTTACTAGCTTTTTAAGGTAATTTTGATGCTGGGGGTTGACATTCGGGCGTCTTGTGTACCCTTCTTACATCCCAGGGCTTTCTCTGTTGTCTCTGGACTAGTCTCTTCTTTAAACGTGCCTCTTCATCTTTTGCCTAGTGAAGTTCCCATTGTGGAATATTTAGGTGGTTTCCCCACTGGGGCTAATTATAAATACCACCTCCGTGCACATTTTTGGTACATGCACATTTTCCTGTATTTCGTTGTATTTCGCTTGGATAGAGTCCCAGAAGCGATGGTGCCGGGATCCGTGGCCCCCGTTGTGTGGCCAGGATCAAAGAGCGTTTCCTAAGTGTGGATGAGTTTTCACTGGAGGACGGGCCGGAGGCGTGGCCTGAAGCCTCCATGCTGCTGGCCAGCGGTGTGGGGGTCTGGGCCCCGCTGGAGAGGGGGCTAGTGGCACGGGACAGAGACCACAAATATCTGTGTCTTAGAGGCTGCGTTCCGGGGCAACTTCCCTTTTGCCAGGAGGAAAAAGGGTTTGGGGAGGGAGCTATGTGAGCCAGGAGAGGCTGGGTCCCTGAAGCCCACGGGAATATGATCTTTAAGATTCTCTCTTGCCCTGACTGGTGTGGCTCAGTGGGCTGGGCATTGTCCTGCAAACCAAAAGGTCGCTGGTTAGATTCTCAGTCAGGGCACGTGCCTGGGTTGCAGGCCATGTCCCTGGCTGGGGGTGTGTGAGAGGCAACAGATCGACGTTTCTCTTGCACATAGATGTTTTCTCCCTCTCTTTCTCTCTCCCTTCCCCTCTCTCTAAAAATAAATAAATAAAATCTTTTTTTTTAAAATAAAGATTCTCTCACCTCAGCCAGACAGATGGTGACAGAAGGAAAGAGATACCCGTCCCTTAAGGTCGCAGAGGGGTCAGTGCTGGGCCCTCTGAGGACAGGCCTGGTCTGTTTGCTCAAGGGCCTGAGGGGGAACCTGGGTAAGAAGGGGGAACCCCTTTTCTGGGTCCACAGCACATCAGGCACAGCCCTTTGTCTCTAGGCCCCGTTTATAGATGAGGAGGTCGAGGCTCGGGACCAATGCCAGGTCCAGATTTCAACCCCAGGCTGCCTGCTCCCAAACCCAGCTTCTTTTCTCTGCACGTGTTGGGGCCTGGTGTGGGGGCTTGGAGAGCTGGTGGCCCTGGCTCCGGGCCCCCTCCTCCTAGCCCCAGCCCCGGCTTTGGGGCACCGGCCCTAGAGGCTGAGGAGGACCCCCATCCAGGGCCGAGCTCACTTCAGTACCTGCAATAGGGACGGCGGGAGGAGACAGATAGAACAGCCAACAGCCAAGATTCGATGCTCGCTGGGTGCTAGATGCTGCTCTAGACCTGCTACGTTTACTGTCAGACTGAACTTCACCAAAGCCTGACGAGGCAGACACTTCTTGCCACCTCCGTTGTGCAGCGGAGGAGACCGGGGCGCACGCCAGCGGGGGTCTTTGCTTGGGTAATGTGGCCCCGATAGGAGCAGCCAGGGTTTGAACCCTGGGCCTCCACGGTGCCCTGTGCTGCCTCAGGGAAGATGATGGGGCTGTCCCTGTTTCGATATCTCACTGCGGGCCTGGGGTCCCTTTCCTGCCCTAACAACGGTGACCCTCCCACCTAAGCACAACTAGATCAGTTCTGACGAGATTTTCACAGCAGGGTTTTGAAGGATGAGTAGAAGTAGACTAAGTGGTCAAATGAAGGAAGACCATTGGTTTGGGAAAGGGCATGGCAGAGGCAATAAACAAGGTCTGTCTGAGGGCAAAGCTCACCTCTCCCTGCTGACTGGGCATACATAATCGCGACAGCAGTTACCGGCCCTGAGCATCCTCATGCATCTGGGGCCTGCTTAGCGCTGTGCACGCATCATCTTCCCAACAGCCTCGCCCACTCGCTGAGAAACGTATTATCATGATCATCACCCCCATCCTACAGATAACAACGCTGAGCCCCGGAGAGGAAGCTGCAAGGCAGCAGAATCAGGATTTGAACCTTTGGCATAGATCTGATCCCTGCACTGCTTAACTCCACTCTAAGATGTGGAGTACGGACTTGACCCTGAAGGCGCTGGGGAGTTATGGGAAAGACGGGATAAAGGAGTGTTGAGGCCTCTGGGGGCCAGGCCCAGTGGGCTGGGAGCTGGGAGATCTGTGAGGATATCACTGAACACCGGGAGGAACGGGGGGTGGCTGGGAGGCTGGGTGACTGAAGAAGAAAAAAGCAGAAAAGACCCTGTCATAGAGGAGCTGCCCCAGCATTGCACAATAATCACAGAGCACGTACTGGCCACCGCACTTGTTCCGTGGGTTGCCTCACCGAGCTGACACAGCCTGCGAAGTGGGTGCTGGGTGCTGGAGCTGGGCTGTCTGGGTTCAAATACAGGCCCTGCCACTCAGTAGCTGGGTAACTGGGCTCATTTTTGCACCTCCCTGAACTTCAGCTTCCTCGTGTGTCAAACGGTTGTAATAACAACACCCACTTCGTCGGCTGCTGCGAGGTTGAAATGAATGAGCTGTCAAGCCTCGGCGCCATACCTGGCCCCAGTGAGCATGATGGAAGCTGTTTTGCAAGTGGGGAAACTGAAGTTCAGAGAGGTCAGGTTTTTGCTCAAAGTGACCAGCTTTTTAAGAAGCAGAACTGGGATCTGACCTGGGGTATTAGACTCCAAAGCTGTTTTTCTTCACCATTGTCATTGGTGGCCTCCCAAGGTTCTAGGGTTAGCCATTTGGAAAGCCCCAAGGTGGCCCTGGGCTTGTGGGTCAGAGAGGAGGAGGAAGAAGGAGGAAGGTGGGAAGGTGGCTCTAGGTCTCTCGCGCGGCTAGCCGGTCACCCAGGCCCCGGGTGCGCCTCCTCCTGCTCGGGTCCCTGGAGGCCCTGGAGTTTCCCTTGGTGCCAGGGGATTGTTTTCTGCTCTGTCTGGGCCCGCCTCCGGCTCCAGGAGACAGGCTCGGGCGTCACACTCCCTCCTGTCTCCCCATTCTCGTCTGCGGGGTGGGGGCGGCCAAGATTCGAAAAGGCCCCAAAATAAATGGGCCTCTTATCTGATCTCCCAGCCTGGCCTGTTATCTGATCATTACATAATGGCGTGCCGCTGACGGCATGGAGGAGGTGGCCCGGCGGCCCCGGGAATCCGGCAATCTGGGAGGAACTGGGGTTCCTGGAAGTCTGGGGAGGGGGCAGGGAAAACCCAGAGGGAAGGAGGAAGCTACTGTGCTAATCTGCAGGCCAGACCCTGGGTCATATGGGGAGAGGTGGGTCCGAGGCCCAGCCTGGGCAGCCACGTGCAGTACGACTCTGGCACTTTTAGCCTCTCCGGGCCTCAGTCTCCCCATCTGTGTAGGAGGGGCTTGGACTAGGTGACAGCCAAGGAGTGTGTGTTCACTGATAGGGAATGGGAGAGGGTGGGGAGCTCTGAGGGGCTTGGTGGGTCACAAGGGGGTGGGACAGGAGGAGATGGTGGCAGCCCTGGGGTATGCGGCGGGGGGGGGCGTTGGCTGGCCTGAGGCGTCAGACCCTCTCAGAGGCCCCTCGCCTGCAGGCTGCCCTGTCCCACCGCTGCGCCCCTAGCAGATAGTGAGTTCTTCTCCAGTGACTGAGGTCAATCAAGTGAAGTGATAAAAAGACCTACCGGGTGCCCCTTCTCTTGAAGTCACCCCTGCCACCTCCATGGATTGTGTGCGTTCTATCCTTCCAGTCCTTTCACAGACAAGGAAACTGAAGCCCGAAGTGGTGAAATCGCTCACCAAAGCCACATAGGCTGGCTTCAGGGACTTTGATTTTATCCAAAATGCCACATGACCCAGGCACTCCGGAGTCCCTGGCACACAGGCCAGGTCCAGAGCAAGGACTCGTACGGCCTGGGCCCCCATGGTGGCCAAACATCCTTGTCCTGAACTTACCCTTCCCAAGGTGTTGCTGGGAGATGGTGTTGGTGGCCCGGGCGGCCATCTTACGTCCTTCTCTGACCTCGGGTGGTCCCGAGCCCAGCGAGGCGGCCGAAAGGTTGGGAAGAAGGCCGGGTTATTCAAGACATGGCCCAATAGCCGGCGATTCAGGAGAAACCTTCCTACCCCCCTGCTCTGAGCTGGCGTCGGCTGGACGTGTGTCCAGTCCCTCCGCGCCCAACTTTGATCTCCAAGAAAACAGGAAGTGAGCGCGACAAGATGGAGACATACACTTCCACGCAGTCTCCCCTTCTCTGTCCTCCTTCCCTCCCCCGGAGCCCCCTCCTCCCCCAGCACATTCCTTAGGACGAGGTGTAGGGGCCTCATTTCCTCTTCCTCCTCTGCTGGGTCAGGGTGAAATTCCACTGCCTTCCCTCAGGACCCACACTTCCCGGCAGCCCCGTGGCAGCTCTGTGGCCTGCCTGCCGCCGCCCTCCAACCTGTCCTTTGGGACCAGGAGACTCTCACCTCTCCTTGGCCTATTCCTCCCGGCCTGCTTGAGGCACAAGAGGGGAAGTTTTGTCTCCGATCTCAGCTCTCACCTTCCTTTGGCGTGAACCAGCCTGCAGGCTTGGGTGCATGAACATGAGGGCCCGGCCCATTGTAGCAAGTAAAATATAAGATGCCCAGTTAAATTTAAATTTCAAGTAACCAATGGAAAAATTTTAAGTATAAATATGTCCCATGAAATATTTAGGATATATTTATACTTTAAAAAGTCTTCATGTTTACATATTCAAATTTAATTGGGCATCCTGCATTTTATCTATCCACCTTACACCTAGTAGCACTGTGAGTTCACGCAAGAGACTTTTTCTTTCTGAGCCTCAGTTTCTCCATCTGTGGAAGGGACGTAATGATATCCACCTAGCAGGGTAGCTGTGAAGATGCAGCAAAGCCCCAAGCCCCAAGCACCCAGTAGGCATTCAGAAAGTGGGAGTAATTGTCACCACCTTGTTCTTATGTGGCCCTGTCTCTGGCTGTCCTTCCCTAACAGGTCTTGCACAAACAGTCCACTGTGACCTACAGCCCGTGGACCTCGAGGTGACATACTTCACAAGCCAGGTTTCTAACGGCTGCGTGGCTCAGGTCCCCAATGCTACCATCGAGGTTCACGTCCTCTTCATGGAGTTCCCAAGGGTGAGTGCCTGAAGGCAGGTGGGGCAGGGACTTAGACCCGGGGCCAGTGGGAGGAGGGGCGTCTTCCCACTCGGGCCTGTCCCCAGAGCAGCGGGGCGAGGCTGCATCGGGGGCCCGTGCCCGCGGGGGGCACGAGCACTGCACAGGGCCTCTAGAGGACAGCACTTCCGGGCCAGCACTGGGGTGGTCCTCTGGATGTCACCGCGAGATCCAGGTAGGAAAGGCTGCATTTGGCTGCGACCGAGTGGAGAAGAACCAGATGAACTGAGGTTCAGGTGTCTCCAATGACAGGGGGCTTCTGAGCAGATGCAGCTCCACTCCAGGCAACCTTGACTTTGAGGAAGAGCTTCTTCCCTCAGTGGAGCCCAAATCTTCCCCCAAGGAATGTCCTTCACCAAACATCTGCGACCTGGCAAGCAGCCAATCGGTGCCGGCATCAGAAACTGTTCCGCCCCCGACCGCGCCCCGCTGCCGAGAATCCCCCCGAGGTCTGCCGCTTAGATTTTCTAAGTCCCTCTTGGTAACACATCTACTAAGTTTAGTATGTGCTGAGTACTGTGCTAGGCCTACTATGTACCATGTACTATGTACTATGGTCTATGCACTAGGCCTACGATGTACCATAGTACTCTGTACTATGAAGTGAGTTCAAAATCTTAACATGTATTAAGCCCCCCGAGAGCCCACTTGGCACAGTCTGCTGTTACCCCACTATTCAGAGGAGGAAACCGAGGCACGCCTGGAGAGGTGACGCAACGTGCCCAAGGCCAGTGTTCGCACTAGACCCCCAGGGAGTCCGAGCCAGGCCGTCACCTGGCTCCCCTCAGGATCTCAGTGTTCAGACAGTATCTGGCTTTCCTGGGCTGGTGACCACACCTGGCTGACGTGGCCTCAAGTCCTGATAGCGATTTAGTGGTGTCAGCTCAGGGGAAACTTGTGGCCAACTCGCCCCTGGAACTGTTAAGTTGCCCTGCATTTGTGTGGCGATAAGACAGTGCCCAGACCACCAATATCGGGGGGCCTGCTCCCCACCCCCTCCCTGCCATGAGGACTGTGGGCCTCGATAATCCCCAAACGGCAGATAGTGCCAAACACACGTTATGTGGTTTTCATAGCCATTGTAATTTTTTTCAAGTTTGGTGATGACATGGAAAATAAGAATACCTTCTGTTAAGTTCCCTTTGTTTGTTCTGATGTTCAGGTCTCCGCTCCCCCTGTGGGTGACGGGGGTCGCGACCCCCGTCACCTCACAGCGAGCCAGAGTCGGAGAAAGGCCCCCTTGCCAAGTGCTCAGGTCTGTGGGAGGCCGACGTAGGGACAGACAGCCAGGGTCCAGGTGATGGGGGCCTCCTTGGTCAGCGCAGGGCAGGGGCACCCCAGCTGCTGCGGGATTAGGCAGGGCTTCCTGGAGGAAGCAACAACAGTAAGGATGGCCAGGAGCTCACTGAGCGAAGGAGGGGGAGGGAAAGGGCAGAGGATTAAGTGAATACGCAGGCAGGGAAGTGGGCCGCGGTGGTGCGGTCAGCACGTGGTTCCCTATGGCGGTAGCTTACAGTTGACCCCAGGGCAGGGCTGGGGAGATGGAAAAGGCCCTGTTGTCATATGAAGGAGTTTGGTCTTTATCCTATGGGCAGGGACAGTCGTTCGAGGGTTTTCACGGGTCTGGCAGGGAGCCACGGTAACTCAAGTCATCCTAGAGCTCGTGGCAACAGAATCTCCCTGTCGTGCCGTGCATCTTCCAGAGAGCTCAGCCCATGGACCACCTGGCTTTTGACTCAGGAGCCAGCCTGCCAACTCCAGGACGGGCAAGCCCCCAGGTCGCAAACCGCGGCGTCTCTGGACGATCGGGCAAGGGGTAGAGGAGAGAGCTGGGACTCCAGCCCTGCCGCTGTCACTGGCCAGCGCCTCCTGCAGCGCCTGGCACGCGGAGGGGGCTCCCTCTGCCCGCTCTCCAGCAGATACACGCTGCTGGAGCTCAGGGACTCACCAAAGAATGAGGGAGTAGTGGAATCTGGGCCAGGGCCTGGCATACGGCTGTTGAACATATGAGTGAATGAGTGAATGAATGAACGAAGGCGCTGCTATGTGGCCTCGAGGCAAGGGTTAAGAACATGGGCTCTGCAGCGAGACAGCCCTCAAATTGAATTTTGGCTCACTACTTACGGTGGCGTGACCTCGGAACACCACTCCGAGCCTCTGTGTTCCCGTGGGAAACTTGGAGACGCTAGGCCCCCACCTCTGGGCGCGCTGTGAGACTCCACTGGGACAGTGCAGGCCGGCCCGGAGAGACGGCGCGCCATCCTGTAGCCACGCTTGTCATTACTATAACAGCTCCTCTTTGGGCTCCATGTCTCCCCTGTAAATAAACACCCTCGTTTTGCTGGGGACGCTACAGTTCACAGAATATGCTCCCATCCGCTATTGCTCTCAGGTAGCTGAGACGGGGCTGTGAATCCATTTTCAGAGAGGGCAATGGATGGAGCCTCACACTCTGGGTGCTCCTGGCCTCCCTGATCCCACTGGATCCCAGTGCTGTGACACTGAGGGACCTGTGGTTTCCCTGGGCGCACCTCTCTCCCCAGGCAGCGCCTAAGAATGGAGTCCGCAGGGCCTGAACCAGCCCTCGCCAGGTGCCTCCTCCCTGCGCAGCCCGAACCGGGCACTGACGGTGCCGAGAGAAAGCAGACCCAGCCCCTGCCCTCGGGCCACTCCCAGGCCAGGGGAGGCTGAGGTGGGCATCAGCAGCCCGAGTATTGAGTGGTGGAATGAGCAATGGGGGGCTGAGGGTCCCGGGAGGACAAGCACTGATCATGGGGGAAGGGAGCTTTAGGGAAAGGGCCCCCTGTCCAGCCAGATGGAGAGGGAGGTCAAGGGCATTCCAGGCAGAGGGTACCCCATGAGCAAAGGCCTACGGGCAAGAAACACGAACTGGCAGCAGTAACGTGGGTGGCAGCCTTCTCGGCAACCAGTCCAATCCCTCCCGACCTCTGGTTGCCTTCGCCAAGCCCTGGCACGGACATTCGCTTTCCCTCCCTTCCCTGCGGGGCCTCGGAGTCCTCAGATTTCCCGCGTGTGGGCGGCAGATGAACTGTGGCAGCCAAGAGCTTCAGCGAAGCGACACTCAGTGTGTGTGCGCATGTTGGGGAGGTTTACAGACAGACAAGGGGGCCACCAGGCTGGGGTTGTGTCTTGCTGGGTCCCCCCAGGGCAGGCCGGAGCCTGGATTCCGGGAGGGGGCCCAGGGTCACATCCTGACTCGTGGAGACAGGAAACCAGCCGGGTGCCTCAGCGATTCCCGCCAGGTTGACTGGACTAATCTGCTGTCCTCCTGACAAACCCCAGACAGCCAGGCCGGAGCTGGGCAGCCGCTGATTCACCCGCTTCTGGCCGCTCCCGGGCAGCACACCACATCCCACGCCGATGACACCCGCTGGGCTGTTGCACTGACTAACCCCTGGCATATGGGCAGGCAAGGCTGCTCGGGTGTGGGGAGAGCAGCAGGGGCGCCGCATTCTCCCGGAATGTCCTGGGGGGCCGTGAAGGGGTGCAGGGGGCAGCAGTGCCCTCAGACCTGGGAGAGGGGAATCCCGCCGGACCCCACCGTCGGTGGCCCTCCCTGGTCCTCTTCCAGCTATGGGCACCCAGGATCCCGGAGATCCCTGCCCAGATGCACTGAGCCTATCCCCAAGTGGCATGGGGCGCTTTCTTGTCCCATCCTCCAGAGGGGACTCTGTGTGGCTGGTGTAAGTTCCCTCAGCCTGAAGGGTGTCAAGGTGATGACTGGCAGAGGGTGGGCGTGGCAGAGCTTGGCATCCGGGCCGGGTTGTCCCAGGCCTGTCAGGGGCAGGCTGGGTGGAGGGGCACGGCTCGGGGGTCAGACAGGCTAGGCAGGGGCTGCATGTGCTGTCTCACCGCTGGATCCCCAGTGTCTAGCTCAGGGTCTGGCTGGGAATAAATATTGGATAGATGGACAGATGAGTGAATAATGGAAGGAAGGAGGGGGATATACACATACATAAAAACATTTGCTGGATGGCCATCCCCAGGGGACAGTGGGGTCACTGTTGTTCACCGTTGGCTGTTTGGGGGTGTTCGTCTTGTTCTCTGCAAAGTTCCCCAAGGACAGAGTTGTGCTTTCTTCCTGTCCCCCTTCGAGAGCACAGAAGCCCTAGCTGGTCCCAGTGCAGGCCTCTTGGATGAGCAAAGGAAAGGGGGGATGGGAAGGACATGAGCTGACCAGGGGCCCTCAGCTGGGGAAAGTAGCATCTCTCTCCCGGGGGTTCTGGAAGCCCACTCTTCTGGCCACTTGCCTGGAGATGACGACTCGTAGAAGTCAAACACTGGAACCCCTAGGAGGCGGGATGGAACCCAGCAGCCACACTGATCCCAGCTCTGTCCTATGCAGATGGGGAGACTGGGGCTGGGAGAGGTGTGGCTGAGACACGTCCCAGTTCCAGCTCCCCGCTGCCACCTCTAATGCTGACCTCCCCAGGCCACGGACCATGGCTTCTCTGGATGCATGGGTAGTCTGTACTTACCTGGGCCCTGGACAACCCACTTTGCAGGAAGGGTCTCAATGAATCTTCAAAAGTCTATGAAGTGGCCCTGGCTGGTGTGGCTCAGTTAGAACATCGTCCTGTACACCAAAAGGCTGAGGGTTTGATTCCTGGTCAAGGCACATATCTAGGTTGCAGGTTTGATCCCTGGTTGGGACATATACAGGAGGTAACAGGTTGATGTCACTCTCTTACATCGATGTTTCTCTCTCTCTTTTCTTCTCTCTCTAAAATCAATAAGCATGTCCTAGGGTGAGGATAAAAAAAAAAAAAGGTTGTGGGTTCGATCCCCGGTTCTGAGTGTGTGCGATCCCCAGTAGGGGCATCCATGGGAGGCAACCAAGAGATGCTTCTCTCCCTTCCTTTCTCTCTCTCTAAAAGCAATGAAAAAAATATATACCTGGCCCTGGCTGGTCTGGCTCAATGGTCTGAGCGCTGGCCTGCAAACCAAAGTGTCGTGGGTTCAATTCCTAGCGTAGGGCACATGCCTGGGTTTCAGGCCAGGTCCCCAGTAGGGGGCGCACGAGAGGCAACCACACCTTGATGATTCCCTCCCTCTTTCTCCCTCCCTTCTCCTCTCTCTCTAAAAATAATACATAAATAAAAATTTTTTAAAAAATATATCCTTGGGTAAGGATGAAAAAACACTTAAAAAAAACCAAAAAGCCTATGAGGTAGGCATATTGTTCAGCCGATTTTCCAGATGAGGAAACCGAGGCCCAGAGAGACATGACTACCCAGGGTCACAGGCTAATGACTGAGACTGCTTGTGAATTAAGGTCAGCCTGGCTTTGACCCCTTCCCCTGCCGCCTTGCCTGCATGTGCCATCTGAGCCTGCTGGGGTGGACAGAGGGACGTCTGGCTCCAATCTGGCCGGCTCCAGTCTGGCCCTCAGAGGGCGGGAGCTGCAGGCAGCCCCGAGGCTCCATCCTAGAAGAATTGCTGGAAGCAACTTTCTATAAGTGGCTACTAGTGCTCAGGGCCTCCTCACCAAAATGCCCCGTTCCCGCTCCTGACCGCCAGGCCAACAATGGCATCTGTGGGACACTGGCACAAAAATAGAAACATGGTCTCCCGCCCACCTATTCAGGGTGGGGGCCGGGGCAGACCCAGGCTGACCCAGGTTGCAGAGCTGGGGGCAAGGGGTGGCTGGCCTGCCGGCCTCCGCTAGGCTCTCAGAATTCCCAGCATGCCTCAGGAACTGGTAGCTTGCGGGTGGGGGGAAGGCAAGCCCCTTTCTTTGCCTTTGGGCTTCGGGCTGGGAGGGGAGAGGGAAGTCGGTGTGTGTGTGAATGACCGTGTTGATGAGTCAGGGTCATGGGGTGGAAATGTTTGCTGTGGAAACCCGGACTGGGTTTTTCTGGTAACCAGCTGCATGGACTCAGCTGGGCCCGGGAGCTCAGAGACCCCAGAGACCCCGCTTCCAGCCTCTCTGCAGGTCCACGCTGCTCCTCCACTCTGTGACCCCGGCCTATGACTACCCCTCTTCAGGCCTCAACCCCACCTCCTCCCGCCCCCAAATCTATGGGAAATTGGTGACAGCTGAGTGGAGGGTTTGGCATGTGAGCTCTGGGAGAAGGGCTTAGTGTGATGTCCCAAAGGTCCCAAAGTTCCAGCCTCTGAGTCCCCTCTCCCTCAGCATGACCCAGCCCAGACCCCCGCTTCTCTTCTTTGACTTCCTTTATCTAGAGCCCCAACCCTGTCCTACCCATTTCACAGATGGGGAAACTGAGGTACAGAGGGACAGGGACATATGCAGAACAGCAGCAAGGATGGATGTTCAGGTGCTCTCTCTGTCACCTGCAGTGCTCTCGGCCTGTGGGCGTACACCTAGGGGCAAAGGACGGGTCTCCAACCCACGGGGCCCATCTGCTTGCTCTGTGGAGGTCTCAGTGTTTACCCCTCTGGCAAGGACAGACATGTGGGGCAGCTTTGAGAGGGAGGACACTGTCCAGGCGAGCTGTTCAGGCGCTGCAGAGGCCACTCTGGCACCAGGATGACGTGCCCGGGGTGCCTGGTACGTCATTCTCCGGCAGCCGTCTGGGCGGTTTCCCTCCCTGAGGCTCACGTGCAACATCTGTGAAAAGGGAGGGCGCCTGACCTTGCTTCAGTGAGGGCGCGTGCAACACGCCCAATGCGAACGGGTGCGGGTTAGGCAGATCTATGGGAAATCACTGATACTCGATAGCTATGTGTCCGAGAGCTTTATTGAGATAAAATTTGCCCACTTAAAATGCACAGCTGAGTGGTTTTTAGTATATACACAGAGTTGTGCAATCACATTTGATTGTTCAAGGTAATAGGACACGTGCAGTCAAGGTGGGGAAGCTGGGGGCGTCCACTGTCAAAGGCTCTGTCTGGCGGGCCGGCCGTGCCTGGGCCTTCCTCTGCTCAGCTGAAGTGGGTCTCCCTTCACTTCCGGTCATTCCCAGTAGCGATCTCCATCCTGTCACAAAATGTCTGTTCTAATGTTTAGATTCATATTTAGTATTTTACCAACATATGATATTAAATCCAGTATTAAATTGTAAAGTGTTTAGAATGCATATTTTAAAAAATTGATGAAACGAGAGATTTCAAACACCAAAAGTTATAAGCCCATTAGACAACATTAATTCACCAAAAAATGGGAACTTATACAAACATCAATTTCAAATATCCATTCTACTATCAATTTGCATAAAAATGATTCTTCAAAAATAAGCAACCAAAGTAGCTCACTGCAATGAAAAAGTTACTCGTGAAACATTGGAAGTGGAACATTATTGGCTCTTTTGTTTTAAAGAGCAAACTTGCAAACAAAGAGTGTCATGACTGAGTAAAGGAAATATTTCTGGGCAGATTTTTCCAGCGTCTGAAACACTCCGTCTGGCTCTGTGACATCAGTTGGGGACGAGGCCAGGAGATAATTAGAAGTTGAATCAAAAAAGTTTCCACTGATCTCTTCATCTTGAAATCTTTCTCTCGTTTTCGCTAAGTCGAGGAGGTATTTGGGGTCAGGCTTTGCCCCTGGGCGGAGGTTGCCAGCTTCTGGAGGCAGCTGCGGTTAGGGTTTCAGTGAAGTGTTTCTCTTCGTCCAGTTCAGAAAGTCTTTGAGCAGAGCAGACGTTCTTTCAACAGAAGCTTGGCCCATGTGTTGTATGAAAGGAGAGAAGGTTAGAAGCTTGGCCCTGGTGGGTCGCTGTGTTCCCTTTTCTTCTAGGGAATAAGGAGGCACAGAAAAATGTGCTGGGCAGTACAGCGGCTGAGAAGAGATGCCTGCCCTGGCCCACATCCGAAACTTCGTTCTTACTTGCTGTGTGATCATGGACAAATGACTTCACCTCTCTGTTCCTCGTTTCCCCACCTATAAGAAACAATAACGATGGTACCTACCCCTTAGGGTTGTTGTGATGATTAAATAGGTCAATAGGTGAAGCGTTTAGAACAGTCCTGGCACATAGTAAGCACTGTATAAGTGATAGACATTATTATTATTTGTTGTTGTTGTTCTGGAAGCATTCTAAATACATATACCATGATCAATTTGAAATTTTAATGCAGTAGGCATCTCCCAAGACGTAAATGATCTCAGCTGCACCTTCTTATAAAATATCAAAGCAATGGTAGTGTATCGACAAAAATATGTCGCATTTTAGTACTTTAAAATAATAAGACCCCAGGAACACCGCACACTGGAGAGGGGTTGATGCCTTGGTACTGCTGCACAGGGACAGAGAAAAGGCACAGGGCGCTCTCGGGGTCACGCAGACACTTGCAGCAGGCACTCAGTAGAAATAACAAAACTTGATTGGCCATTGGATAAAGCTCAGGCTCCTCACCATTTTTTCTTTATGCCTTTGAATTTGCTGAGACGAATCTCCTCCATTTGCTGAGCAAATACTTTCTGAGTGCCCCCAAGAGCCTGGCACGGCGCTGCTGCGTGGGCGGGCAGAACACAGTGAAAGCTCATGGGACATGGGTCCTCACTGCTCATCTGGGTGTCAGAGTCTATGTGAGTCTGACTGATCTGTGTATGCGTGTCTTTCCTTGTCCCCTCCCCCCCAGGAAATGTCAGAGCTGAAGCTGACTGTCAACATGTCCAAGCAGAACGGCATCCAGCCCCGAGAGGTGCTCCTTGTCCTAGGTCTAAACCAGAGTGTCTTTCTGCAGCTGGAAGCCCCCGGAATCCCGCTCCGCCTGGCCTCTGTGAGTGTGTCACCTCCAACCCTGGGCTGAGGCACTGGCCACGGGAGGGCCCTGCTGACAGGGAGAACCCAAAAGGCAGCAGGGTCTCGGGTAAAGGGTTCAAACCCAGAAACGGGATTTGGGCGGAAAGGCAACCCTGGCCGATTCCATCCTCTCGCACAGCCTCACTTTTCCCACCTGTGCAGTGGGAGAATTGGACTCAGTGAAATCCTATAACATAACCTTGTCACTGTCTTCACCAAAGTCACAAGGCATGTATTTAAACAGATGTAAGTACTGAGAACAAGGGTCAGGAGGAAACCTAACAATGTATTAACAGTAGTTATGGCTGGGAGGTGGGATTAGGAGAGACATCTATTTTGTTCTTTGCGCTTTGTTGATTTCACAAGACTCGCTCTCATTAACATGGCCTACATCGGAGAAAAAATTATTTTTTAAAAAATCAAGTTTTAGCCTTGACTGGTGTGGATCAGTTGGCTGAGTGCCCTCCTGTAAAGCCAAAGGTCACCAGTCTGATTCTAGGTCAGGGCACATCCCTGGGTTATGGGCCGGTCCCCGGTTCAGGGCGTGCAAGAGGCAACTGATCAATGTTTCTCTCTCGTATCCATGTTTCTCTCCCTCTCTCTCTTCCTTCCCCTCTCTCTAAAAATAAATAAATAAAACCTTTTTTAAAAACTCAAGTTTGAAAGCAGGGACTCACAGTGAGGGGGCTCGGGGCTGCCTCTTCCACATGGGGGGGCTGTAGGAGGAGACCCCCCAGATGTGAGCAGCTGTTGTTTATAGCCAGAGAAAGCAGGGTCGGGGAGGGAGGACAGATGACAGCAAAGATTACAAGGGCGAGAGAGGCACAGAAAGAACAATGGGAATGAAAAAAGGAGGGTCTGTGTGGGAGGGACAGACAGACACGGAGAGACCAGAGACAGCTGGGGAGGAAGCTGGAGACCCAGAGACGGAAGTGGATCCAGGCCGCCTGGGGGACAGGCCTAGAGACAGAGAGAGGTGAGGGGTGGGGTCGGCGGGGAAGAATCCGCCCTGGCAGCAGGGACAACGCAGAGACAGGCAGAGCTGGCCAGCATGAAAGCCCCCGGAAGGCTGAGAGTGCCAGAAGCCAGTCAGCGGGGTGGGGCTGGACTGATCCCATTCGGTACTTCTCTCTGCTCCCAAGGAGGGAAATGGAGGCCTCTTAAAGGGCCAGGCCTTGCCATGGCTCATCTTTCTTCCTTTCCATCCCTGGCTCTCTGGAGGCAGCCCAGGCAGGGGATCGGAGCCCAGAGGGAGCCCTAAGTGTCCCGGGGACACAAAACATGCCCTCGGGCAGAAATGTTGAAGCAGCCAAAGGCTATGGCTTTGGCCACATCTTCTCCAGCCTTCCTCCTGGGGCTAAGAATACAGGGTGGGTCAGGTGGGGACAGTAGCTAGGGGGCACCATTGCAGCCTCTCTGCAGGCCTGGGCCTGCAGCTTCCTGGATGCCCCTACAGGGGCCGTAGCCTGGCTGGGGGCTTGGGCCTCTGGGCCAGACCCAGTGCCAAGCAAATGGCAAGCACCTTGCCTTTTAAGCCCTGTTACCTCCCCGTTTTGCAGACCAGGACTCAGGGCTAGAGCCGGGGAAGCTCCTCGTGCCCTCTCCAGCTCTAAACCACTGCCCCAGCCTTTCCATCATGGGCTGGCTTCCTCACCCAGGCGCTCCCCACTTTGCCCCCTTGTTAAAGTCCTGCTCCATTCGAGGTGGACCATTCTGTGGTGCCTTGCCTACTTCCACTCTCCGGGAGCCCCCCTGAGTGTCTAGCCTGGGACCCTTATGCTGCTTCAGCACCATGTCCCTGGCTTTGGAGATGGAATGCAAAGGAACTCGAAGTCCAAGTGTCCAACAGCTTCCTCTGAATCCTTTGGCCTCAACAGAGAACCTCCATCAGGAAGCCTTCCCTGCTTCCTCTGCCCCAGCCCACGAGGGTCTCTCCTGGGGGCAGGGGAGGGGGGCAGTGGGGACAGTGAGGTGCTGGAGCCACCCAAATTCCTATCCCCATCCATCCAGAGGACCTGTCCCGCTTGATCCTTGCTCTTTTGTTTCTTATTAAATAATATCCTCCGTTTTCTGTTGTTTCAAATGACTTTCCGTTCATTCATTTATTCATCCCTTTCTTCTTTCCTCCCTTCCTCCCTCCCCATGTGCCAGGCATTAGGATGAGGCTGACATGTTAGGATCCTGAATGCTGGGCCTAGGACCCGGTACAAAGACAGACAAGTATTCCTCAGTGCCCCCTATGTGTTGAGCACCATGTGGGCATGGGCAAGGCAGACAATTTTCCCTTGCAGATCCTTAGAGTGTGGGGGAAACAGACATTAGCCACCTGATGTCATAAGTGTGGGTAAAATGAGTGTGACTAGGGAGGGGTGGGGCGCTGATTTTGCACAGGTGGATGAACATGGATGTGTATCCAACCAGCCCCCTACATGTGGAAGGGAGATGGGGCAGATCCAGCTCTAGGGGGGCCCTAGTTAGGGAGCTCTGGGGCTGACTTCAGATACCCTGGTCTCAGCATTCCCAGCCCTGGCTGCTCTGCTCAAATTACCTCCCCACATTGCCTCCTGATGTCTGCATGGAGCAGGGGACTCGAGCCTGGGAACAACACCCTGAGCCTCTGCGTGTCTCCCCAGGACCACAACCGCGTCTTCCAAGGGTCCCCAGGAGCCAACAACATACCGCTGCCCAACTTCACCACCAAGAGCCAGATCCTCGACTGGGCAGATGCAAGAGGTGCCATCATCTCTGTTGCTGAGCTGCATGACCCCCAAAACATCAGCCTCCGCCTGGACCAAGGTCAGCTTCCCCAGGAGCTGCTCTGGGCTCAGAACCAGAGGCATCTGAATTCCTCCAGCCCGTTCCTCAGATGTGAACACTAAGCCTCCAAGGAGGGACGCGATTTGCCCCAGGTCACACACAGCAAGTTAATACTTTATCAGGACAGTAATTACCTCTCACCAAATATTAGTTGGAACCATGTGAAATTGCTACTTGTCAGGTTTTTTTGATCCAGAAAAACAGCACATTCATAGTATTTATTGTGTACCTATGTGCCAAGTCCCAGGCTAGGCATTTGGGGACTCTGTGGGGACAGTCCCAGACCCTGCCCCTCGGGAGCTGACACTGTGGTGGGGAGATGACAATAAACACGTGCACAGGTAAATAAATTACATAATGTCAGGTCATGGCGAATGCTACAAGAAAGCTACAGATGGGGTGAGCTGCTGGTCTTGCAGGGCTTCATCCCTAATAGGTGCCATGGTTGTACCTTCTATGAACCCCGTGTGGACAGATGAGGAAACAGAGGCTGGCGGGCTTGCCATGAGTCACTTGGCAGTAAGTGGTGGAGAGGAGATTTGAACTGAGATCCTCTCATGCCCTCCACTTGGCTGCTCCAGGCTGCCTGCCCCACCTGTAGAGGGGGTAAGGGTGGGCCTTTTTGTTAGGTGCCCGGCTGCTCGGGGAGGGGACTGAGGTGCGCTTGTCTTTGCAGTCCCGAAATCACTGCCCTCCTGCAGTCCCGAACCCCACAAGGACATGGGCGATATGCTCGAATGGCAGCCACGCACTGGGGCCTTGGTCCGGGGCTGCCGCTTGGAAGGTGTGGCTGGCCACAAGGAGGCGCATATCCTGAGAGTCCTGCCGGGGCCCGAAGACCGGTAAGAGTACCCGCTTCCGCCCGCAGACCCCGCCCCATTGGCACCCTTAAGCCCCGCCCCATCCGAGCCTCAGCCCGGTCCCTGACCAGGTAAGAGTATAGTAGCTCTCACCAATCTCTGCGCCCCGCCCCAACGAGCCCAAGCCCCGCTCACTTTCACATCCCTTCCGTGCATCCACATCGCACCAGGTAATAGCTCAGCGGCTGCTATGTGACCTCGGGCCTTGTACTGCTGTGGCCAGTCCCCTCCGGCGCTGCCCAGCCCCGCCTTCCCGCCTGCGGGCGCTGACGCCGGAGTCTGTTTCCCTGCAGGCCCCGGACAGTGAATGTGAAGGTGGAGCTGAGCTGCACTTCGGGGGACCCCACCGTGCTCATCCTGCAGGGTCCACCCTACTTGTCCTGGCTCATCGATGCCAACCACAACATTCAGGTCTTGGTGAGTCTTGCGCCTGACCCACACGGCCCCACGCGGGCCTCCCAAGGCTGGTGAGAGAACCCAGGTGCCCGGCAGGAGCGCCCCTGCCCTGAGCTTTCACACATAATGACGGTACTTCAGCCCCGCCCTTTTCCTCTGCTCACTACCTTCAGACCGGCACCTAGCTGCCGCCTCGGCCAAGTAGCTTTCCATCATCCCTTAGAGAGGCCCTTACTTAACCCAATCCACAGGGTCAGGGAAAGTTCCTACAGAAGCAGACCCCACGCTGAAATGGACAGACAGGAGCCAGTAGATGAGGGGAGGTGGCCCAGGCAGAAGTAACAGCAAGAGCAAGGAAAAGAGCAAGGAAGAGAGCAGCCCGAAGGCCAGGCAGAGCCCTGGCTGGGCTGTGGCGCCCGTCCAGGCTGTGTGCCTCCTGACCGTGGCTCCCTGTCGGCCTCTCTCCCTGTCATTAGACCACCGGTAATTATTCCTTCAAGATCTTTCCAGAGAAAAACATCAGTGGCTTGGAGCTCCCAGATACACGCGAAGGCCTGCTGGGGGAGGCCCAGAAGCTGAACGCCAGCGTGGTGGCATCCTTCGTGGAGCTCCCTCTGGCCACCGCTGTCTCTCTCCGGGCCAGCAGCTGTGGTGAGCACCCAGCTCCCTTCCCTTGCCCTCCTGCCCTCCTTTGCCCTCTTCTTGGACCAGTCGCCACAGTGAGGTGAACACCACTGCACAGCCGTGTGAGCTTGGCAGGTCGCATCAGCCCATGGGAGCCCCATTTTCCTCCTCTGCAGCACGAGGACAGTGACAGCAGCTAGCTACAGACGCGCTTGGTGCCTGGTGCACAACGAGCCCTCAGTGACCTGGCCCCCCTCTGCTACCCACAGGCAGCGGGCCGCAGAGCTCACCCACACCTGCCCAGACCACCCCTCCCAAGGACAGCTGCGATCAGAACCTGCTCATGACCCTGTTCCAGCCCAAGTGCACCAATGACACCATGACTCTGGAGCTCAGGAAAGATCTCATCTCGGTGGTAAGGGAAGCCCTACCCCTCCGGCCGGGCTGACACGGGCAGCTGGGCCCTCCTCCGGCCTGGGAATCTCGGGTTCCTAACCCTGGCAGGGGCACGAATCGCATCCCCCTGCAAGCTTGGGGTTCCCTGCTTGGAAAATGGGGCGGAAAGGGGTACCTGCCTTGCGGGGAGAGTGAAATGGGGCCAGACGCGCGCAGCCAGGTGTGGTGCTCCGTAACTACCTGCTCAGCAGCTACTAGGAGGCTGTCATCGTTCATCCTGAACGCAGGCAGAGCTGGGCGCTCACTTAGCACACCTGCACCGCAGTTCTGCCTCTTTGAACGGCAAAGGTATTTGTTATAAAAATAACGCAGGCTTTTCTTTTTAAATATGGAAAAGATTAGAAAAGAACAAAATCTCAATCCCTCCACTCAAAGACAATGGCTACCAGCATTTTGGTGTGTTTCTTTCTAGAACGTTTTCTGTGTAAGGCTTATATGGGGGAATCAGATGCGCCTGTTTGTCTTCAGCTGTATTCACTCAATGTATTTTTAGAACTTTGACCTATGTACTTAGTATCATGTTGAGTGGGCACATATTCCATTTTATGGATAGGCCATAATTAGCTCCTCCTCCCATGTTATCCATTTATCTTGTTTCCAATTCTGTAATATTATAAATATGCAGAAAAGTCCTTGTGCATGAACCGTTTTTTAAATATGGGATTATTTTCTTAGAATAGATTTCCATATTAGTGAGACAGCTGGGTCAAAATGAGTGAACTTTTTGGAAGTTTTGATACATGTTGGCAACCCGCTCTCCAAAAGAGGATTCCAGTTTTTCCTGCTGATTTATGAGAGCACTGTGACGCTCCCTCTCTTTAGGCTATTATTTTTGTTTTAAAAAAACTTCGCCCATGTGGGAGGTGGAACATGACGTTCTGTTCCTGTGTTAATTTATACTTCTTTGCCCAGTAGCGAGTGTGAGCGTGGCTCTACACGGCTGGTAATAATCTAAGGCTCTTGATCCCTGTGGCTTGGTATTTTTCTTGATAATTTCTAGAAGCTTTTTACACAAAGAAAGACAATTTTGGCCCTTTGTCCTTCATGCTTATCAAAATAATTTCTCCCGGTTTGTTAGAGTTCTTGAAATGTTTGCTACAGTGGTTTTTAACTTTTTGGATATTTGAAAACGTTGGGCCATTCTAGCTGTGCATCTTCCCCTCTGTGATTTCTTCTGGCCTTTCTGAGGCATGAAACCTTGCTGCTGGAGGCTTGGCAAATCACCTATGTTCCCAGGGGTTTTTAGAACAACATTGAACTCTGGGGTTAATTAAGTCCATGCGGGAGGTTTTCGGGGTGTGAGATGTCGAGGCCTGTACGAAGCCCCATCTGTCACCTAGTTCTAAGGGGCCTGGATGGATCCATTGTCATCCATCAATCTTTGGAACACTACACGGCACTAAAAAGAATGTGCTAGATCTACAAATGTAGACACAAAAAAGATGTACGTGACTTATTGTTCAGGAAGAAAACTAAGCTACAGAAGGAAGGACAAGTATGATGTCATTTCTTAAAAATATTTTTGAAATTAACACATCTCCTCTGAGTCCATACATCTGTATTGAGGAAAACACAAAGAAAAAGAGTGTGTACAGATTCACCCCAAACACGGGGCATGCAGCCTCTTGCCAGTTCATGAAAAGTGGTCAGCGTGCAGAGTTTGAATTCAGGCCCTGGGCTTCAGTTCAAGCTGACCCTGGGGCTTCACCCAGTGTAGGGCCATTTTTGTTTGGTGGGCTCATGCCTCCTAAAGTGGCCCTGGATGGCTGGGGACAGCGTTCTGGGGGAGTAGGTGGGAGTTAGCTGAACTCAAGGGGGACTTCCAGCAGCCCACTCGTCCCTAAGGCTCTGAGATCCTTTTGATCCTCAGCATGTGACTGAGAAACTCTAAGATCTGATTCTTCTAAAACAGGAGGTGGCAAATAGGGCTCACTGCCTGTTTTTTGTAAATAAAGTTTTATAGGCCCTGGCCGGTGTGGCTCAGTGGGTTGGGTGTCGTTCCACAAAGTGAAAGGTCGCTGGTTCAACTCCCGGTCAGAGCACATGCCTGGGTTGCGGATTTGGTCCCTGGTCAGGACACGTGCAAGAGGCAGCGGTCAATGTTTCTCCCTCACATCGATGTTTCCCTCCCTGTCTTTCTCCCCTCTCTCTAAAAAATAAATAAAAAGTTTTACCGGCACACAGCCACACCTCCACTTACATATTGTCTGTGGCTGCTCTAAGGCTGTGAAGGCGAAGTTGGGTAATTACGACAGAGACCACATGGGCTGCGAAGCCTCACGTAGCACTTACGATCTGGCCCTTTAAAGGAAGCGTGCTGTCCGCGGGTCCAGGAGTCTCAGCCTCTGAGGCTGCACTACGCTGGCAAGACCTGCATGTCCCTGGGGCTGTGAGCGATGATTGTAGGTAGAACTCAAAGGAATTTTTAAAGTTTAATAGTTCTGCACGTACTTTCACGTATGTTAGAAGAAAAGCAATAAGTAGTAAACCAGATGCACGATGCCTCACATTTTATTGCTTAAGACAAGGTTAAGTACAAAAGCGAGTCCAGTTCAGGAGAAGAATGATCGTAAGTGGTGCAGGATGATGAAATCTATCAAAAGGGGAGAGGGGAGTGGAGGTGACCCCGGGGTTACCATCAGTCCATGGCGCTGAGTGGTGACGGACAGGCCCCAGGGAGCCTGGCGCCCCCTGACGGTGCCCCCCCCACCCCTGGCCTACTTTTTTGAAGTGCACCATCACCAGCCTGAGCTTCTTGGACCCCCGCTGCCAGGCTGAGGACGCAGGTGACCAGTTTGTCTTACACAGCACCTACTCCAACTGTGGCATGCAAGTGACAGAAAATGTGATCAATAATGAGGTAAGAGCTGGGACAGGAAAGGTAACAGCCTAGTTCATGACCCCCTCAGGTGCCCGCTTGATCATCCAGGCTTCAGGGGCTTTGGGGAGAAGGGGGTGGTGCCCAGCAGGAAGACAAGATCAGGGTGGCTGTGGCGGGCTCCGCCTCCCCGTCTGTGAGAAGGGTGTATTGCGGGGAACACCCTCTGGGTCATTCCTGGCTCTGACAAGCTCCTTGGCTCTGCTCCTGCAGGTGATCGTCAACCTCCTGTCAAGCCCATCACCGAGGCAGGTGAGCTGGGTGGTCGCCATGCTAACGCATCTGGTCCGGGGGCCCTGGGGTCCCTTTCTGGCTTGGGAGGGAGCGGGCATCCGGAATCTCAGCCCCTGATCCTGGCATGCCACGTGTCTCCAGAGTGGCTCAGCCTCCCCTTCTGTACTGTGGGGACAGTACCGTTGAGAGTTATGTTCTCAGCCTCTCGTGTTGGCAGCTTCTAGTACGTATTGGCTGTGAAGCGTTGAGCAAATCGCTGAAGCTCCCTGGGCCCCAAGGTCATGTCTGGGAGCAGTGGCATCAGAAAGGATCCCCGTTGGGGTGCTCGCGAGCAGTCCCAGGGGTGACGCAGGGAAAGCACTTTCCGCTGGCCCAGCGCAGAGTGAGTTCTTGATAAATATTAGTTTGGTTTCTTCTTCTTTTTTTTTTAAGGTGAGAAAGAGGGTCAGGCATCTCCTCTGGACCATGTCCCCCGCTCCCACCCTGTCCCTCACCTTCCTGGCCAGGGAACTCACAGACTGACCAAGTTCCTGTCCCATCCCCCGCAGAAAAAAGTGCAGTGTATCAACACAGAAAGCCTCTCCTTCCAGCTGGGCCTCTACCTCACCCCGCAGTTCCTCCAGGCCTCCGACACCATCGAGCTGGGGCAGCAGGGCTTTGTGCAGGTACTGGACTTGACCTCCCAGGACTGCCAGCTCCTGGGATTCCTCAGAACATTTCTTCCCACCACTAGTACAGAGAAGATGGGAATGTAACTTTCCAGAGCAAGGAGGGAGCCAGCGTGGTGCATGACAGAGGGGAGAGAGAGAAAAGGGAGAGCTCAGACACGCCGATTAGAGTGTCACCTCCTCCTCCAGGCAGGCCCCTGACTGTCCCACCATCTGGGCTCAGGGGCAGAAACTCTGGAGTGAGTCTAGCGTATTTCACGAGGGCAGGCAGGGTGGAAGGTGAAGAGTGACTGCCGTGCCTCGCCCCCCTTGCCTGCCCTTGCAGGTGAGCATGTCTCCGTCAATCCCTGAGCTCATTCTCACGCTGGACAGCTGCCAGCTAGATTTGGGGCCTGAGGCAGACACCGTGGAACTCATCCAGCACCAGGCAGCCAAGGGCAGCTGTGTGAGCCTGCTGTCGCCAAGCCCTCGCGGCGACTTGCGCTTCAGCTTCCTCCTCCGTGGCTACATGGTGCCCACCCCCAAGGCTGGCATCCTCAACTGCTCCATATCCCTGAGTCTTGGGACTTGGTATCAGGTGAGTGGGGTCTGGGCCAGGCCCCATGCCAAGGGTGGCTTCCGGATCTGGGTGTTTCAGGAAGGGGCATGACAGCCCAGCAGGATGTCAGACCTGCTGGCAAAGGGCAGAGCCACAGTCAGGTGTGCGGCTTCTGGCTACCAGAGGTCGGTCCTCTTACTGCCACCCTACAGCCTCCGAGAGCTTTGCTGTGTCTTGGACACTGGTGGGATATGTAGCTGCATCTGTCCATCCGTCCAACCATCCACCCACCCGCCCGCCCGCCATCCTACCCAGCCTCTTCATCCACAGTCCTTCCACCGTCCCAGTCATCGGTCCCCACCCGCCACCATGAAGTAGGGCCACTAGTGCAACCTCAGCAAACAGGAGACCTCAGGGGAGAGGCTCAGGCGGAGGGGACGGCGTCCTGAGTTTCTGTTTACTGGTCACAGCGCTTCGCCATCCAGTGGCACCACCCTCCGGCACTCAGCCCTGGGCACATGGCCATTGCCAGGCCCTTGTGCACACAAGGGTCTCTGGTTGTGTGAACCTGGACAGGCCTCCTCCCTCCAGCCACAGTAAGCCCGGGCCTCCGGGCCAAGCTGGCTCATCTTTCCAAGTCGTTCCCCAGGATAACGGACGCAGTGCAGAATGCGCCCACAGTCCTCCTGGGAGTCAGGGGCCTCCCAGGAGCTCCCAGGAAACAGCCCATGAGTAGCCAAGGATTGTCTCCCCAGCACCCTTCCATAGCATGGATCTCTCAGGACTTGCTCAAGGGCTCCCAGCTAGACAGTGGTGAGATAAGATGCCAAGTCAAGGCCCTAGAGTGGGCTGTGACTGGATCACAGAGCCAGGGAGTAAACCTGAAAGCTTCCCCTCGGAGGCTGTGCCACACACCACTCTCTCCCTCCCGCAGAAAATCCACAGGATTGCCACCATGCGCCTGAACGTCGTCAGCCCTGGCATGTCTGGTGAGCACTCCCCAGGTCTCTCTGGGGTTCCAGGGTCTGAGGTCAGAGTGGGGCACAGCAGATGTCCCAGAGGGACTGGGGCCTCGGCTCACAGCAGGGAGGACACTAGAGGAGCAGCTCTGGGAGGAGGGCACGACAAGAGCTACCCAGCAGCCGGGAGTAGGATCCACAGCGGCATCTTCCAGACAGGAGAGCCTTTGCTTATGACCTCCCTGTGGGATAGGATTCCAGGCCTTTGGCTCTTCTCGGTCTGTGTTTGCTGGTTGACCTCATTAGGGGACGAGGCCTCCAGAATCCGTCTGGATGGGATGGAGGGAATCTTGGGGCAATGCCGGCCTCATCTGGAGGCCCCGGTGTGGAGGATGCCCCTTCAGCCCAGCACCCTCCAGCCTCTTTGTTAGTTGCCTCTGGGCCCAGGCCCCCACCAGGCAGAAGAGTCCCTGATGCTGGAGGCGGAGGTGGGGTCAGCTGCCTCTTTGCCCCCCAGCCCTGGCCAGGATGGAGCTCCAGCTCACAGCTCACACCCAGGAGAGAAAGGCTAATCACCACGTGGCATGGATAGGAGCGCAGGACCAAGGGGTCACATGCACACAGGAGTCAGGAGCGTGGCAGGAACAAGGCTTGGGGAAAACCCAAGAGCAGCGCTAAAGAGCCCTCTGAGGGGCCCTGCCCGTCCCAACCACGGGACCGGGCTCAGAGCGGGCAGGCAGCGACCTCAGGTCCCACAGCGAGGAGGGCCAGCCTCTGAACTCCCAGGCCCCCACTCACTTTTTGCCCAGATTATACCACCCACCCTCCCTAAAATGCACCTCCATCAGCCTTAGGAGGCAGAGGTGTGGCCCTGGATGGAGGTCTGCCTCGCCCCAACCCATCGGCTAAATGAAGAGACTGAGGTTCAGGGAAGTCAGGGCACTGGGCGAACTGGGACTCACGCCAAAAGCCGTGCTCCTGGCCAGCCCAAGAGCAGGGAGCCAGGCTGGGGGCCTGGGGGAGGCAGCAGCGCTGACTGCAGCTGTCGCTCCCTTGGCTGCCCAGGCAAAACACTCGTCCTGCCCGCTGTGCTGGGCATCACCTTCGGCGCCTTCCTCATCGGGGCCCTGCTCACCGCCGCGCTCTGGTATATCTACTCGCACACACGTGAGTATCCCAGGCCCCCACCGTGAGTGCTCAGGACCCCTCTGCCACCACCACCTGGGGGAGCCCAGCGAAGCCTCTTGGGGAGTGGGGAGCCCTGGCCGGGGCCCTGACCTCCGCCCCCGCCCCCAGGTCCCCCCAGCAAGCGGGAGCCCGTGGTGGCGGTGGCTGCCCCGGCCTCCTCAGAGAGCAGTAGCACCAACCACAGCATCGGGAGCACCCAGAGCACCCCCTGCTCCACCAGCAGCATGGCGTAGTGCCCAGCCTGGAGCCCTGGGGACCGCCCAGCCAGCCCTTGCCCATCAGGAGAGACTGAGCAGCCACCCGCTGGAAACCCCTGGTCATGAACTCACCCCGGGACCCAAACCCTCCCCTTCGACCAAGGACGGACCATGCCCTCCGCCTCTTTCCCGGAGGCCTGCTGCCAGCGCGGGCACCAGCCTGGAACGCCTTGGGACCGCCCCATCCCGCCCTGCAGAACCTTCAGACTCGGTGGGCCTGGGGTACAGCTGCCCAGGACCCCAGGGTGACAGAACACTGCCCTGTATGTCCACGTTGTTATAGAAACACAAGTCCCTGTTATTCTGACCTGGATCCAGCACTCGATGACCTGGGCTGGGCCTGGAGGTGAGAACTCAAAACAGACTCTGCTCAGCCCACTCAGGCCAAAAGCGCCTCCGCCATGACCGGCCGAGGACCACCGGGATCTGATCCCAGCAGCACAACTTTGGGGTCGGGGCGGGGGCACTGACGCCTAGGGATGCCCAGCCTGGGAACAGGGGAGCCTAGCTCCTTCCTGCAACTGTCACATGCGGACCCCCTCCCTCCTAGCCCGTCAGGAAGGCAGCAGATAGGAGTGGCCAGGCTGCCTGACCTGGGCCCACCCCTATATACTCACCACCAATAAATCAGACCATGAAACCAGTGTTGGGCTGGGAGAAAGGAAGGGATGCCTAAAATGGGGGCGGAGGGGGTTCAAATCCTGGGCCTGCCACCTATGGGCTGTGTGACCACAGGAAGATCTCGTGGCTCCCTCATCTGTAAACCAGGTAGAATTTTCAATCACATGGTCTCCATGGGCAGGTCTGCAAAGCAGTGCCTGGTGTGTGGTCGGCAGACATCAGGCCAGTTTTCATTTCACAGACAAGCCACCTGAGGCTCAGAAGGTCCCGAGCCACACATCTGGGCTCCTACACAATCCAGTTCCTGTACCTCTACAGCCCCCTACTGTCTGCAAAGGGAGCTGGAGGTCAAGGGTTAAATCAAACATTTTGCTTTTTTTTTTTAAGACAATTTAAAAAAAGATTTTATTTTTTAGAGGGGGAGGGAAAGCGGTATAGAAACATCAATGTGTAGTTGCCTCTTATGCGCCCCCTACTGGGGAGCTGGCCTGCAACACAGGCAGGTGCCCTAACTGGGAATTGAACCGGCAACCCTTTGGTTTGTAGGCTGGTGCTCAATCCACTGAGCCATACCAGCCAGGGCTAGATTAAGACTTTGTTTTAAATCCAGCCACACTCTGTCCCCAGGGGGCCTCAGGCAGGCACCCTTCCTTTTCCAGAAGGCCACTGAGAAGAAGAAATCTGTGGACCTGCACCAGGCAGGACCCTAGGCCTGCCAGGAAGCAGTCTGGGTGGGATGAAGACAGAACTACCCGCACAAGAGAACTGGGGAGCCCCCTGGCTGCCTCAGGAGAGAGGAAGGCGAGGCTAAGGGCCCCACAGTCTCAGAGACAGCATGTCTGATCTCAGCCTCCCACCCACCAGCCATCTCCTCTGCTGCCCAGAGCCCAGGTCCCTGGGGCAGTCTGGGCAGAATCAGGAAAGCAGAACAAAAGGCACCTAATACAGGAGTTCCCGAGGAGATGCAGGGACAGCATGGCCCCACCCCACCCCACTGCCAGCAGCTATACGGACAGGGAGGGCTCCAGCAGCTTCAGGACACCGCCCACCAGGTGCAGGCTTCCTGTGACCAGTACGTGGATGGCAGCAGCCTCTCGGAGTACCCTGGCCCCGCTGTCTGCCACGGGGTGGGCGAGAAGGCCCTGGGCGGGGCTCGGTGTCTGAAACACAGGGTCCCGGCCCTGGCTGATCCACTGCAAAGCGTGGGAGATGCAGCTGAAGACCAGGGAGCTGGTGCTGTGGGCATGGAGCGGGCAGGGTGCCAGCCCTGCAGGCTCCAGCCTCGGGGCGCTCCAGACGTCGGGGCCGGACTGGCCCTCGTGCAGGCGGCTCCAATGCCGCTGGTGCTCCAGGCAGCGGAGCAGCACCTGGTCCAGGGTCACCATGAAGTTCTGCTGGTCTGCAGGACACAGGGACGGGCACATCAGCGAGGGGGGTGGGGGAAGAGCAAGCACGCTGTGGACACCTGCTCAATTCAGGCCCTTTACATGCGTCGTCGGTCCTCAGTGAATGCTATGAATAAAGTGCAGCTGGGGGAGGTTCCGAGGTGTGCCCGGCGTCTCAGAGCTGGTCACAAGCAAGGCCCGGCAGTTTAGCTTCAAAGCTGGGGCACGCCTCCCGCTGGGCACGCCTCCCCACCCTGGCCTCAGTGGCTCCATCTGTAAAATGGGCAAGGTGCGACACGGGTGCACGGACACATTTCCAGAAACAGACTCCTGGACTCTCCCCAGACAGGCTGAAGTGGGGCCTCGAGAGCTGTGTTTTTTTTGTATTATTTAAAATTTTTTTGAAGGGGACCCACAGTTAAAAAAAAAAATTTTTTACAACGGCAACAGAGTACTCACGTATGTGTACATAAATATCTGGAACAGAATCTTCCTAAAACAGTAACTACCCTTACTTCATGCAAGACACAGACATTTTCTATTCTATCTCATTTACAATATAAAAGGTGGCTGAGACCCACTAAAGAGACTTCAAGAACCATCATTCGGTTTTAACTTGTATTCTGAAAAATGTTTTCCCCAGTAATTCCTTTTTAGTATTACAGTCACAAGCAAAATTCAAAATGTACCAAAGGACATTTATCCAATAAAATGAATCTAGCTCTTACCCCCGACTTCCAGTTCCGAAGCCCCCACCGTAACCAGCGGGGCAGTCCCCCTTGGGACCCTCCACACCCTGCCCACCTCAAGAAACCACGCCTGTCCCCTCTCACCTGCGTTATCCGTGGACGACACCTCTGCCAGGTTAGGGCAGAAAACAGCATAGTCGAACTGGCAGGGCTAGAAGGCCGAGGGGGAGGCGTGGCGTCAGGGTCCCGAGAAGATGCTCCACCCCGACGCCATCTTCCCACACAGCACCCCGGAACCCACGTACACACCCCCATCTCTGGAGATGCGCTCCCCACCCCCCGCATGATGCTGCATAAACCCAGCCGGGCACATCAGCGCCCCCCCCACCATCTACCACGCTGTGCCCTGCCTGGCTAGTGGTCTGGGCAGCCCACTGCACGGGTCGGGAAACAGAGGCTTGGGGGCGGGGGTACAGCTTAGAGTCACCCAGCTACTGAGCAGCCTCTAACTCCAGGAATGAGCCCCATTCTACAATTGAGGAAAGGGAGGTTCAGGGATGAAGGCACCACTGGGGATGGGGGACTGTCACAGAGCCAGAGCGGGACTGGGCTGCCTGTGGCCCCACGAGCAGCCAGCCTCTCACCTGCAGCAGCTTCAGCAGGGTGGCGGCATCCCGGTCCCCAGTAGAGTTGAAGAGCAAGACGCAAACTTCAGGCCCCCTGTGAGAGGTGCGGGGAGGCGGGTAAGAGGGCACCTCCCACCTCCTACCCTCTGTCCTGAAACCTCCCTCCTCCCTGTGGGCAGCCGATTGGCCCCATCCTTCCCGGAGCCCCACTCCTACCGGCGCTCACCTGCTGGGCCTCTCCAGGCGGTGCAGCGCCTGTCTGAACCAGCGCACACAGGCTTGCACGCTGCTAGAGGTGTGCGCACCGTCCAGGTACCAGGTGAGGGGCCCACGCCGCAGTATCTGTGACCGGCCCAGCCACTCTGTGCCCTGAAGACCTGGGGGTAGGGGACAAGGCAGCTCCTAGCCGTGGAGGCCCTCCCACATCTTTTCTGCACTCTGGTCCTCAACTCCCACACAGTACCCACCCCCAGTGCCCCGTGTGAGTGCCCTGTCTGAGCTCCCCGTCTGAGGAGCTGAGCAGCCCAGGAGCCCATGACTGGGTGCTGGTCAGTGGGATAAGCCCTTCTGCCGCCTCATCTGGCGGAATCTTCTAGGCAGCCCTTAGCTCAGAAAGATGAGGTAACAGTGCAATGAGTCTTGGGGCTGGGATGTAATCCAAGGTCTGCCCGGCTCCTGGGCTCCGTCATGGCCCTGACGCGGGGCCTGGCATGTGGCGGGCACGCTGGAGCCATTTGCTGAGGCCCTCTAACAGTCGCAAGCACCTACTATGTGCTGAAAGCTTGGAGGAAAGCAAGGAGCCTGATATCACCATTCCCAAGAGCCTCATGGTCTTATGATGGCGACAATGACAAGAGTGACTGTAACGCCAGCTACCACGGGCTGGGCGCTTTATCCCCCACTTGTCAGCCTCCAGGCTCAGTCCCTCGTGTGGCAGGTGAGGAGACCGAGGCTCACAGGAAGTGCATGAACTCAACGTCAGGGAAGTGTACTGACTTTGAGTCCCTTCCCTTGGGCCCCCTATCCATTGCCCCAGCTCTGGAATAGGAAAGTGAAAGAAACATCTGGAGGGACATGGCTGGGCAGGGGAGCCTAACTCACCGAGCCGCATGGGGGATGTGGGCTGGAACACAGGCGCCAGAGGCAGCTGACACAGGGGGCTTGGCCTGGACGCTTTCAGCTCCCCGATGCCTGGGAGGCAGGGAGGGCTGTGTGGGACTGGGTATTCTCAGAGCCCTCAGGGCAGGCTCCTTGTGTCCCCTGCCCCCTAGCCTGCCCACTTACCTTGGTGGTCCTTTTGCTGCAGCCAGCAGCGGGCCAGCTGCAAGGCCAGGGCGGCATTGGACCGCTGGTGCTCTCCCTCCAGGCCCAGGGCCAGCGGCGGCCCCCCTTCCTCCAGGGCTTCCAGCGGTGGGCACAGGTACAGGGGACACTGCCGAGGAGTCGGGAGCCCTTCTGATGTCATCCGCCCTTCCATCTGTCCCCACCAACCAGGACCCACCAAGACCTGCTCCTAGAACCAAGGCATGCCCCAGCCGGACGAGCCGCTGGCCCTCACTGAACAGAGAAGCAAATGGAAGCCCGAGGGCACAAAGCAGCTCCCAGCACTTCCGGTCAGACTCACTGCGATCTGCTCGGCCCGCTCCTTCAGCACTGCCAGGGGGCCGTCCGCCTGCGGCACAGTGAAGGCGGGGACGCCACGCTGCGGGGGACAGAGACAGGGAGGCGGGCTGCTGAGGGTCCTCCGCCTCTATCTCCGGACCTCACAGGCCCTATGGAACCCCTCCATGGGAAGACTAAGGCTGGAGATGAAGTTCAACTTACTCTAGTCACACAGAGAGCTGAGGCAAGAACTCAGAGCCCATGATGCCCAAGGCCTCTCCTGAATCAGATAGGAAGGACCCCGCCCCAGCCCACTTCCCTGAACCTGAAGGGCCAGGCCCAGGCTACCCATGCGCCTCCCCTCCCTAGGGCTGCCTGGTCACCTTGAAGATGCCCCCTTTCTGCCATGCGATCTTCTCCATCGTGTCCCCCAGAAGGCTGGTGTGGTCGATGCCGAGAGAGGAGACTCCACATACCACAGGCTTCCTGCAGAAGACAAAAGCGCCATGATGCCCTGCCCTGGGCCACCTGGGCTCGTGGCCGCCATCCCTCTCCCCAAGCTGCTGCCCTCACCTGACGATGTTAGTGCAGTCATAAGCCCCACCGATACCCACTTCCACCACTGCCAGGTCCACCTGCGGAGAAAGAGAGGGCATGGCAGCAAGTGCAGGGGCACCTGGATGCCACATGCGAGTCCCCCGCCTATTTAAGATTCCCCTCCCCACAGCCTTCGACACAGGGCTCTGGGGAACGGGCACGCACCTTCTCTTGGAGGAAGACATGGAAGGCCAGAAGCGTGAGGAAGCGGAAGTATCCGGGCATGGAGACGCAGCTGTTGCTGTCCTGTGGACATGAACATGTCAGAGCCTGAGGCCCCTGCAGCCTCTGCCTGGGGAGATGGGGTCCTGGGACGTGTAGCTCCTCTTAGGCCCATCTGCCCACTCCAGTACCCCCTTCCCTGCCCCCACCCCCACCCCCCAGCCCTCCTGCCTAGAAACCTTGGTCTCCTCCAGGCGATGATAGAGGCGCCAGAAGTGCTTGGTGAAGAGCTCGGGGCTAATGGGCTGCCCGTTGATCCGGATCCGCTCGCGTACCTGCACCAGGTGGGGAGAGCTGCCGGGAGACCTGAGGTCATCGAGACTCCCTGCACAAGCCCCCCGGGCCCTCCCCACACCCCCACAGATCTGATCAGGTCACCGTCCTGCTGAACACGCTCCCGTGGCTTCCCCCTGCCCTCCAGAGTCTGAGCTCTTCAGCTGGGCCACCAGGGCCTTGCAGGGCTGATGCCACTGACCTGTCTCACCTCTCCTGAGTCCCTCGATAGTCCCCTGTGCCCCAGCCTTCCTGTGCGTCCCCGGGCTGGCCCATGAGGCTACACAGCCTCAAGTCAAAGGCTAGGGTTTTACCCAAAAACTTACTTCAGCAGGGAGATTGTTGGCTTACATTTGAATCCTGAAAGACCCTCTTGTATTATGAGTCTTTCTATTTCTTTGTTTTGAATAAACAACTGGTTAGGGAAAACACAATGGCCTGAAATGACCTCAGTGAGCTGGTTTCAGATGCTTAGAGGTCCCTTGAAGGAAATGATTACAGAAAAGAAGGCCAAAGTCTTAAATGCCCCAACCCCAAGGACTGATTCCCAAGCAATGAACCATCAGGTGAACCCCATGCTTTACAGGTGACCCGCTAAGGAGAGGCACATACCGCATACTGCCCAGGAAGAGGGGTCCATTGTCTTCCTGTCCCCCACCCGCCCTGCCCATCTGTGGGCGTGAGTCTAGAAGCCTGAATGCGACCAAGAGGGAGAGCTGGCTTGAGGACAAAGCAGCCACTGAGGCTGGCAGGGGACGGGCCCCTGCGCTGCCCACTCAGGAGGCAGCGTGTGTGTCATAAACCACCCTCACCCTTCAAGCCCGCACAAGCCAGCTTTTTTGCTCCTTACTGCACAGGCGTCCTAACTGATAAACGTTCCTACGTGATCTAAAAATTGTATATGGAATTTAAGTTAATAAAGAGCCATGTGACTCTTATAGCTGTATTCAGTGGATACATTCACGTTATTGTCACCCTTCCTCAACTTTTTTCATTATGAAAATTAGAGACTGCCATAGACTTGAGCGACTGTGGTGAGTGCTCATTAAATGCGTGTTGAATGAATCAAAAATGGGCAGAGAGAGAGGCAGCTGAGCACCGAGGGGTGACTCTGGCTATGAGCTGCTGGCTGGCTCCACGGCCCCCCGAGAGCTAGGAGACTCTACATCCCTAGACACCTCAGTACCTAAAGAATCCTGTCTTCAGGCCGTAGCTCCGGAGGATGCGTTCAGTGAAGGCACAGGTGGAGCCCTGGGAAACAAAGTTCTTGTCTGGGCAGTCCCCACCGCCCCCACCCCACCAAGTGGATACACTTCCCCGGGGTCCTGTCCTTCACCTTTCCCTTCGTCCCAGTGACATGGATGATGTTCAGCTGGTCCAAGTCTTCCACCTGGGACGGAAAGACAAGGTCCTCAACGAGACTCACAGACAAACAGGAGTGGGATGGGGGGTGGTCACAGGCCCCACCCACTTTACCTGCAGCCCACTCTGTGCCAAGTACAGCTTCATGGCTTCCAGCTGTGTCTGGGGGTCACCCCGCTGGCGCTTCGCCTGCTCCAGGTAGTTGGCATTGGTCTGCAGGGTATTGAGTGTGCGCACAGCTTCCTGTCAAACACAGCCCCCAGGGAGCAAGTTAAGGCTCAGTAGGCATGTACAGGGACAGTTGTGTCCAGCACGCACCAGTGGTCAGGCCAGGCACCAGCCCGCTCTACCAGCCCTGCCGCTCCAGCCTAGAGGTTAGACACCAGTGAGAGAGAAGTGGCATCATTCCAGCTCTGGCAGAAACGGGAGCCTGGGGCAGCTCAGCCCCACCCAGGAGCAACAGGCTAAGCAAGTAACATGACTCATGGAATTAGCCTGGCTTCTGGTTAGGGCTCCGCAGGCTGCATCCCTGGGGCCTTTGCCCTCATTCCCTCCCATGGGGTCCACCACCATATGGGGCCCCTACTAGGCTGGGGCCAGAACCACAGAAGGGTGTGATTCTTAGATCTGGAGGAATTAGCACAGGGAATTCCTAGAGTCTTCCATGTCTAACCCTGAGGATTAGGATTCCACACTCTGGTCGAGCTGCTAGAATACAAGGTATTGAAATATTTTCTAAATTATTAAGAGAGGGGTGGTTTTCCCATGTTGAGATAAGATGATGGTTGTTTAAATTCTCCAAAGAAACTTTTTTGGGGGGCCTGCAGGGATATTTTGTGTTCACGTGTCCAAAAAAAGAATAAATTGGCTTTCTCATGCTCCCCTTGCCCGCCCCGCCATCCCCTCCCCCCAAAAAACACACAACAGAATAGAGCTGCTGAAGTCACCAGATAGGAGGAGGCTGGGAGGGAGAAAGGATGCGCCCAGGGTCACCCAGCCATGAAGGCAGGTAGGTCAGCCTCAGGAGGGTCCACCCTGGGGCTAAGAGTGGGAGTGCTGCTTACTTCCCCTCAGGACCTCAGTGGTTGGTTGGAGGGCCCACCCATCATACTGATATGCCTGCCATCTGACTGCTGGCCCAGGGCATAGAGTCAGGAGGCAGTTTCCTGTTTTCAGGATTCTTGCCCCGCCCCGGCCCCGGCCCCCGCCCCCGCCCCACTGCCCCTGATTCCTGACTCCGGAGACTACATACAGAGCACCAGGACCCCAGTTGAGCCACTGGACCTCTTGGTCCCATCACCGGGCGCCCCTCCCAACTTTAACGCGGGACACTTCAGCCTCAGAATTTCCAGATCCGGCCTCCCAGGCCCAACTTCCTGGTCCCTCCCCGCAATCCCGGACTCCAGGATGCAAACCCCAACCCCACCCCGAGCTTCCCATTCTCAGGGCTCTTGGTGCCCTCCTCGGCTGGCGCCTCCGGATGCAGTGTGTCTCAGGTCTGGCCCACATGTCATCGCGTGACCGCCAGCCTGCCTGCTGGATACCTGATACTCCATGCCGGGCTCCTGCGGCGCGGGCCTTACGCTCAACGCTCGCCGTCCAGCGACCCTGGGCACTGCACCACGCAAAGAAACCGCTGCCAGGAAGAGAGCCGCGCGCAGGTGGCTGCGCGCCCGGGGCATGGTCGGGGAGCGGACAACCTCACCCTAGGCCTGAGCCGCAGACGCCACGCCCCCTACCTCCCGTGCACCGCCCCAACACGCCCTCCGCCAGTGAGCACCGCCCAAGGAATCCACCGGCACCAATAAGAATCCGCGGGTGCCATCTTTGTGAGGGGCAGTCCCCGGAGCGGACGCCTTCGCCCATATCTATGAGGGGCAAGCTCCTTGGGACGCGTCTGACTTACACAAACTTGCACCGCCAAAATTGCCATTCCCAGTCAGCAGGCCTCAGCTTCTGCTCCCGGCCAGAAACAGCCCCGAACCAACTACGATTCCGACGAAATGACCTGTGGAGGTCACTGAACTCGGCCCCGATTGCCACAACTCAACGCGGAGACTGAAGGCTGCGGTCTCTGCCCTCGCGAATCTAACAGCCCTATCGCAGGCCAATAGACCAAAAACCAGGCACCTACGCTGCTGGGTTCCTAGCCGAGCCTGGGCAGCCTGGCAAGTCTTCCTGGAAGAAAGCAACATCATAGGGGAGGCCTGGGGATGAGGGGGAGTCAGCGAGGTATAGGGATGGGAAATAGGTTTCCAGGAAAATGGAGGGAAAGATATGTGAAAAGCAGACGGCTAGAGAGGGAGAACTAGGCACCCAAGGGAACTGGACTTGCGCCGGGGGGTCTAGTTGCCCCATAGTGACTGCATGCTAGATCCAGCAGTTAGTCCTCAGCTCTGTCCTCTGTGCACTGTAGCCTGATAAGGAATTTGGATTCAATTTGGGCGACAATAAAATGGTTTTAAAAGAGATCGCACGATCAGATTTGCGCTTGAAGATTTGCTGTGTGGAGGAGTGCCTTTCTGTTTACTGTCTGGGATGCTGCCTGATTCATGAATTATTTAATGAGGCCAGTTAGATCTTAAAATTAAAAAAAGAAAAGGGTGGGTGGTGGTCAGAACTTTTCCTATTCCTTTCTTGGCCTCAACTACTAACATGGAAAAAGTACAATAGTACGGAGATTCTCTTTTTACAGCTGAAGTTTACAAAGGACCGGGGTGGGATGGGCTGCAAATATCCCTCTAGGGAAGTGCCCACAGATGAGAGGCCATCCTTCAAGCTACTGATAAAATTTCAGGACCTCTCTCCCTCTTTCCTGCAGGCATTGGGGTAAACATGTATCAGAGACTGATTTTGAAATAAATGTGTTGGGAAGATTCCTTCACTGGCTGGCTGGGCTTGGTCTCTTCTTCCTCGCTGCCTGGTGCCCCCACCTGGCCCCGTGGGAGATAGAAATCTTTACTCTCTTGTTTCTTTCTAAGTCATTGAAACTCCCTCTATACATGTACATGTATATAATTTAGTAACTGCATAAAAAGTGATCATGAAGAAGCTTTCAATGGTTTTCTTTTGCTTACCCCCTACCCCAACCTTCCTCCTTCGGAAATCTTTGACAACCAACAATGTGTCCCACAGTTTTCTATGTCCATGAAATCACAGGCGCTCCTAGATATCCACAGGGCCTTGTCAACGCAGGTGATGATATTTTCTGTGTCTTAATTTCTTACTCAGCAATAAGTTTATAAGGATACCTCTAAGACATTGACTTAGTAGCCTTGGCTCGTGTGGCTTGGTGGGCTGAACACCGGCCCGTGAACCGAGAGGTTCGATTCCCAGTCAGGGCACATGCCTGGGTTGCAGGCCAGGTCCCCAATCGGGGGGGTGTGAGAGGCAACCGATCGATGTTTTTCTCCCTCTCCCTCCCTCCCTTCTCTGCTCTCTAAAAATAAGTAAATAATATGACGTTGACTTAGCAAACAGTTAAGTAGCACCCAGACACTGTTCTAAACACTTTCTGCATAGTTTAATCATCACAAGCCTATGAAACAGGTGCTAGTATTATCCTTGTTTCATCCTTGTCTAACAGGTTAAGAAACTGAGGTGCAAAGGAATAAAGGCACAAACACACGTCATAAAATCAAGTTCATGGCACTCTGGCACTGGAGTCCTTGTTCCCAGCCTCTGTGCCTTCCTCCTTCCCCCGCTACCCTCCCGGGGTGCAGACTGCTACTCAGTGGCAGTGGCAGTACCATAATGCGCCCCTACCTGCCTGCCAAAGGGCATTCACAGAACCTTCCATGGCTTGCTGGGTGGAGAGCACGTACTTGGGGCTTTCATTCCTGCGGTGAAATGTCACAGAGCTTGCATGCCCTCCCTCCCATGCTGTAACCTTTGCATCCCACCAGCTGTGTGTGAGGAAGGCACCCCTTTCCCAGAGTGTTCCGCAGATTGCTGGGTGCACCTCGTCATCATAACTCTGCAGTTTCCTGGCTGCAGTGAACTTGAACATCTTTGCACACATTCATTTCAATAAACTGCCTTGACCCATTTTTCTAATGTCCTTTTATCACCTTCTTGTTGAGCATAAAAGCATGTTGGGTATCACAGATAGTATTCCTCAGTTCTGTCCTATACAACAAGTTTTCTTTCTCGGAACTGACTGTTGGTGGCCTCCACTGATTCATATGTAAGGGGGATTAGGTGGGGGGGACACGACATTAGAACTCTTGGGCTCTTCTTCCAAGAATGAGGTCCCAGGGAAAATGACAAGCCGGGGGAGACTCCCTCCTCTGACGTGAGGTGGAAAACCCAACTTGCCTGTGTTCCTGAATCTTAGCTGACTTCTTCCCCTTTGTCCAGAGCAAAGCTGTCCATGTCGACCCTCCCCGCTGACCTGTGACAGGCCATCTCCAGAGTCGGGAGGGTTTACAGTCCTGGCAATCATTGAGCTGCAGACCTCAGCTCCAGTGGAAAACAGAAAGAGACGTACAGGCACGGAAGGCACGAAACAGCACAGAAAATTCCAGGGATCCTACCTGGTGTGCTCCTAGTTGTACAGGAAATTCTAAGTGGTGACCAAGGCCTTGGCAAAGCCACTCAATGGCCTTGGGCAGGTCACCTGTTCCCTGGGCCCATTTACTCCATGGTCTCCAAGGACAGTTTTCATAGCCAGCAATGCTGGGAAATGTAGGTGTAAAATTTAAGAGGGAGGGAGCAGAATAGACGTATCTTCTTTTCCTTATTAAAACATTCCCTTACCCTTTTTTTTTTTTTTGAAGATTTATTTATTTATTTTTAGAGAGAGGGGAAGGGAGTGAGAAAGAGAGGAAGAAAAACATCAATGTGTGGTTGCCTCTCATATGCCCCCAAGTAGGGATGTGGCTCACAATTCAGGCACGTGCCCTGACTGGGAATCAAACTGGCAACCCTTTGGTTCGCAGGCTGATGCTCAATCCGCTGAGCCACACCAGCCAGGGCATATTCCCTAACGTTTCATTTTATTTTTAAATTAGTATTTTTTGGATGGATAATACATTGTATCATTCAAATAGGTAAAAAAGATAAACAATGAAAACTGCCCTCCAGGTCCCAGTATTCTAATTCCCCTCCCCCAAAAGCAAAGTTATGTTTCTTGTAATCTTTCCAGAGAAATTTTGTGCATTTACAAGCAAATACAAATATATATAAATTTCCCTGTTATAGTTACAGATGGCAGACCATACATGCAAGTCTGTGTTGTACTT